GGTGGGACTGCAGTTGGGGCAGGCTCATTTTCTGCTAATAATTATGTGTCTTCTAGTGCTGATGCTATTTCAGCATGCAGTGGATGTAATGTCAGAAAGGCCATAGCTGAGAAGGCTCCAAGGCTTCTGGCTAGTTTAGTACAACTTTGTGTAAATGCACAATGAGAAATTCAGAATCAAGAAGTACAGTCAGCACCTGAGAAGCTCAGCGACTGGAAAGCCAGCAGTGCAAGCAGTGTCACCAACAGTAGGTGGCACTGCGTTTTTACTTTAGCGTTAGAAGGGTTCTGGGTGGAGAGGAAAGGACTGCACGCGGTTTAAGATGCGCGTTAGTGTGTTACATTCATGGATGGAGATGAGAATGGGATCTGAAAGCACCGGGCAGACTTCCAGCTCATCTTCCTGCGAGCATGAGGACTAACGAGCACAGAAATAGCACCACGATGGGATCCTCTGTCAAAGCTCTTCGCTTGTATAGAAAATAGATAATGGCGACCATACAAAAGTGCCCCTAACTCTGAATAGTCTGGCTGGATTTGTGTTTAGTTTAGTAGAATTTTGTTTCAGGCTAACGTAACATGGGAAAGCTGGGCTGATTATTCAGAGTAATTTTGCTAAAATACAGACAAAAGTTATTCCATTGAGATCAAGTCTTTTTATTTCAAAGAAAATCATTGACACATGATACTGCCTCTGATAAAAGCGGTAGAAAATGCCCTGTGGTGAAAATAAACTTGATATACATATTCTTGATTGCCATTCGTTGTAGTATAGCAGATAAGAAGACACTCTCTGTGCATTTTTAAGGCACCTTATACAGGACTAGTAATTTCACAGCAAGCACAGCATTTTGATCCTATTGAACCACAATCCAGAAGCACAGTTTCTTGTACCAGTTGAGATTACTTCCTCTGCACGTTGTTCCTACAGGTCTGAACTCCACAGGTTTTATCAGTGGGGCAGAAAAAGGAGGTTTCTGATGACAATTTTACTTATAAATGTAAAATTTTAAAGTTGTCTTTAGGTTGTTCTATTTTTATCAAAAATTAACAGTTAAGATCAGAGTTTGCTTGGCAGTCAGTTTCAGCGAAAACATTCTTTGCATAGGTTACAGAATTTTAACAAACTTTCTTCTCCATTTTCCAAGGAAAAACAGTACAAAAAAGCAATTGTAGCATTTTCCTTTATTTTCTTTTGGAAAAAAAATGAAAACTGCCACAGAATTGCTCTGACTGTTGATACACACAAATCTGTTATTTCGTACACAGTAGGACAGATCTTTTCTTAGCTGTAGCTGGCAGAGGTCCACTGGCATAAGAGGAGAGGCACTGATTTATTTGCATTAGCTGATGCTGCAGGCATTGATCTAGATCAGTCACATGTGCCATTCCAAAGGGTAAACTCACATTATTTTCCTCCTTATCTCATATGATAAGATTGTATATCAAGACCTTAATTTCCCACTTGACCTTTACACGTCATCCAAAAAATATATCACTGTTGATAAATGAATCTTACGCACTTTCTTTCTTCCAGGCATTGTCTCAAAGTTCTTTGAAACTTGCTGAGTATGCAGAGTACTATAAATCATCAATGAAAAATATATGCATGAAATTTCAGCGAGGCCTGGGCAGGCTGGAGAGCTGGGCAGTAAAAAACCGGATGAGGTTTAACAAAAGCAAGTATAGAGTCTTGCATCTGGGGAGGAATAATTGCATGCACCAGTACAGGTTGGGGGATGACCTGCTGGAGAGGAGATCTGTGGAGAGGGACCTGGGTGTCCTGGTTGATGACAGGTTGGCCATGAGCCAGCAGTGTGCCCTTGTGGCCAAAAAGGCCAATGGCATTCTGGAGTGCATTAAAAAGAGTGTGGCCAGCAGGTCGAGGTAGGTGATCTTCCCCCTCTACTCTGCCCTGGTAAGGCCTCATCTGGAGTACTGTGTCCAGTTCTGGGCTCCCCAGTACAAAAAAGACAGATCTCTTGGAAAGAGTCCAGCGGAGGGCCATGAAGATGGTGAAGAGCCTGGAGCATCTCTCCTATGAAGAAAGGCTGAGTGAACTGGGTCTGTTTAGCCTTGAGAAAAGAAGACTGAGAGGGGACCTGATCCAGGTCTATAAATATCTAAGGTGTGGGGGGCAGAATGGCGAGCCTGGACTGTTTTCAGTGGTGAATGGAGACAGGTCAAGGGGAAACGGCTGGAAACTGCAGCATAGGAAGTTCTGCACAAATGTGCGCAAGAACTTCTTTACAGTGAGGTGACGGAGCACTGGAACAGGCTGCCCAGGGAGGTGGTGGAGTCTCCTTCTCTGGAGATGTTCAAGACCTGCCTGGATGCCTACCTGTGCGACCTGGTGTAGGGAACCTGCTTTGGCAGGGGGGTTGGACTCGATGATCTCTGGAGGTCCCTTCCAACCCCTACAATTCTGTGATTCTGTGATTCTGTGAACCCGCTAACTTTTGTAATTATGTTATAAATTGCCAGTCTGCTGTCTTGGATTTTTATATTTTTTTAACTTTTTTTTTTTTTTTTTTTTTTTTCAGAAATGAGTTCTTATTGTGTTTTGACAATTTATTGCAGATTTTAAAACATGAAATAGGAGCTATATAAAGAAATGTGTGTGTGTGTGTGTGTGTGTGTGCACTGCAGCCCAGATATCAAATATTCTGGACTCCATCAGGAGAAGAGTGGCCAGTAGGGAGATGGAGGGGATTGCCCCCCCCTATTTTCTCCTCGTGAGGCCCCACCTGGAGTACTGTGCCCAGGCCTGAAGCACCAGCACAAAGAATATTCAGATCTGTTCATCCAGAGGAGGCTTGGATGATGTTCAGAGGTCTGGAGCACCTCTTCTGTGTGGAAAGATTGAAGAAGCTGGGCTTGCTCAGTCCGGAGAAGAGAAGGCTCCAGAAGACCTCACCATAGCCTTCCAGTATGGAAGCTGTGTATCCAGCCTCTCCAGGATGGAGACCAACTCTGTACATGGGCTAATACTGACAGAACAAGAGGTAATGATTTTAAACTAAAACAGGGGAGACTTATTTAGACTTCAGAAAGAAATTCTTCACTAGGAGGGTAATGAGACACTGGCACAGCTACCCGGAGAAGCTGAGGGTGTCTCATACCTGGAAGTTCTCAAGACCAGATTGGATGGGGCCCTGGGCAGCCTGAGCTAATAGGTGGCAGCCCTACACACTCAGGGGGTTGGAACTGGGTGGACTTTTTCCAGTCCAAGCCCTTCTATGGCACAATCTATATTTCAATGGAGAAATAAATGTATCTCAGATTAAATATTCTCTTCTTTAATTAAAAATACTTCAACATCCATCATCTACTGAAGGAGCTGGCTGATGGAGAAATATACCTACAGAAGTATTAACCACATTGTTCCTCAGTATTCTTCTGGGGACCACAGTGAACACCAGAACCACAGTGAGCACTCTGCAGAATCGTCAGTTGAGCTGCTTGCAGGAGCAACACTTAGCGAGCTTCAGTCGCTGTGCAGGAAACTGGGAACATGACACATGAGAGAGCCATGGGCTAATTGCTTCTGTTCACCCACCTCTGGGCAAACAGCACCAGAATCTGCTACCTGCCTATGGAACAAGTGGCAAAGAACAGCATGGGCAACATGTTGCATGCTTTTTGTAGTTGCATGCTCAAAATGCTCACCTCTTCTCCCAGAAGTGAATAGGAACAAAGTAAAATCAGAGCATTGTTAAATCATTTGAGCTGGGAGGGACCCTTAGAGATTACCTAGCCCAACTGCCCTGCAATGGACATCTACAGCTCAATCAGGTGCTCAGAGCCCCATCTGGCCTGTCCTCAATGTCTCCAGAGACGGGCTTCCACCAACATTCTGGGCAACCAGTTCCACAGGCTCACCATCCTTACTGTAAAAAATTTCTTCCTTATTTTCAATCTCCTCTCTTCCGGTTTGAAACCATTTCCTCCAGTCTTACTACAACACACCGTGAATGCACCTCTGGAAGTGCTCCAGCAGGTAGGTCTGTACCACTCCTATACTGAGGGCACCGGGTGAGGCCTCACCAACACAGAGCAGAGGGGCAGGATCACCTCCCTCGACCTGCTGGCCAAACTTCTTTTGATGCGGCGCAGGTTAAGGTCGGCTTTTTGGGTTGCGAGGGCACCCTGCTGTAGCAGAAATGAGAGAGCCGGCCGGATGCAGCAGCTGTCCAGGGACGGGCAGACACCGGTCCGGTCACGCCAGGACCTGGGCTCGCAAACGACGGACGCGCCTCCTTCGGGGCGGGACGGACAAGGGACAAACAAGGGCCAGGTAAGGGACCGGGCGGAGCCTCCGCCGCCGCCACCTCCTCCCGCCAGCTGCGGAGCCGGCGCGGGGCTCCCGCAGGCGCGGGGCGTGATCGGTCAGTGCTGCGCGGGGCTCCGCCGCTCGGTCCTGCGCGGAGGGTGCGCGGCTTCGCGCGGCTGCGAGACCGCCGCTTTGCGCGGAGTTCTGAATAGGAAGCGGCTCGGAAGCAGGAAGCTCTGCTGCTGTGAGCAATGAGCATCTGTCCCCCCACCACGGGGCTGCCGCGATGACGGCTGCTTTACTCCGCCGTGAGGTCACGCAGGTGCTGGCCGGGGGCTGTGGCGCTGGGAGGGCTCCTGCCGTGGGTGGGAGGTGTGAGCGGGGGGCGAGGAGCGCCTGTCTGCTGAAATGGTGGTAATAATTCGCGTGTTTGTCTTTCGGGCGCGGTTTTGTAGCTGTAAACTCGCTTTTCAGTTTCTTTTGTGTGTTTCTGGGAACGCGGGTGTGCCGGGAAGCTGTAAACCGCACGATCGGGGGTTAGTAGGGATGGGCTGGCATCTCCCCGAGTGGGAGAGGTTGGCACGGCTCCTGCCAGCGTGACCCGGCCTGGGAATGCAGCGAAAGTGGACGGTGATGCATCTGGTATTAGCAAATGGCTGTTGGGATGAGGTGGGAGCGGCATGCTGGGCGGGGGGGGGGGGGGGGGGGGGGATAAGTGAGGCTGTAACTGCCAGCCTGTGGGACACGGCAGTCACTGGCTTCTGTGGGACTGCAACACTGCAGAAAGTTACACTGGGTATGAGCAGTGAACCCTGCCTGTCTGCCACCTGTCATCAGATGGCACTCGGGTGGCTGAGGAAACACCTTACCAGGAAAACAGTCAGAGGTGAATTGGTGGCCACCTCCAGCTCTGGATGGTTTCCTGTTGCTATCAGTCTTGAGTCAGAGCTCCCAGCATTTATTTCTGAAGGAGCAGCCCTGGTGACTGTTTCACGTTGACATTTGGGAGATTTGGGAGTGGGGAGGGGAAACCAGCTTAGCTACAGAAACCAGGTGCTGCGTGAACCACTTTCCTTGGGAGCCCATCGACTCTTGCAGCCTTTCCAAACAACCCTTAAGTTGTTTGCAATGGGCCACAAAGCCACACCAGGCTCCTTTTTCCACCTCTCCTTCCATTCTTTGAACTGCAGAATACCATCACTCTTTTGCAAGTGGGACAAATGATAATAAATAATAAATAGTGGCCAGAGCTGCTCAAAGTGGCACTTCTCAGCTGGTAGAGGGGACACACTAAAGATCCAGGCTCTCTTTGTAAATGTGGGCAATGATTGGGTTTCAGAAAGGAGTGGCAGTCACTCAGTGATGTTCTGCAGGTGTCATGATGAAATTTTCATTGTTAAGTGTCATATGGTCTGATGGGGAACAGAAAACTGAAGAACAAGTAGTAGTATCATATAGAAAGGAGTAAGCTGCCATTTTCAACAGGTAGACGAGTGCACCATTCACAAAAAAAAAAAATGAGAAGAGTGTTGTTTTCTTCCCTGTAAAAACACAGGCACTGGCACAAAAAAAAAAAAAAAAAAAAAAAAAAAAAAAAAAAAAAACAAACAAAAAAAAACATTTACAACCTTGGGTTGTTAACAGACCATATTTATGAAGAGTTTTTGTGCTTTCTTTTAATTAAAGGCTGCTGCTGCCTCTCACATAAGGCTTGCAGTAGCCAAGTGGTGTTACAGCCTTCGCCAGTCCTGTTTAGCATCATTGTAAGAAGTTAAGCAATCCACTCAATGTTTCATTCCTTCTCTCTCTCTCTCTCTCTCTCTCTCTCTCTTTTTTAATGTTATTTACTTTGCAACTTTTTCTTTGATCCAGGTACCTCTAAGAAACAAAACTAAAGCCGTGTTACTTTGCAGATGGAAAAAAATACTGTAATATTTGTGAATTCTCCTTTCCTGAAGGATTTTTTTTTTAGATAATCCATAGAGTGTACAAGAGCAGCTAGCCATATATCCAGGTTTTCTTGGATATACATTTTTTTGCCAGATGGCAGCTGAGAAATCCAAAACTTTTCTGGGTTTTCTGGCCACTCAGCAGAGGAGTAGCTCTGGCCACATTGCAGACATTTAGGAAATCTTCAGTGTGCCTATGGCACACATTCTGCAGAGGTGACCCGGCCATTTGCAGGAGCAGGTGACATATTCAGGTCATGTTGCATTTGTGCTGTATGCAATGACAACACATATATAAACAGCTGTGTGGGAAATCCTGGCTGTCAAAATACATCAGCCCTCACCTGACACTGAGTTGTTTGTTTGTTTGTTTGTTTGTTTTACTGATACAAAAGAAACTCAAACTGTAATGGAAACTTTTATTTCTATTGTCTAAGTAGATCAGCTCACCCAGTTTGATTAAAGTTACACGTTTTAAAATCACATTCTGCTACCTTTCTTCTGTGTCATGTCACAGATTATCTTTGTTTTCCCTCTTGTTCATCTACAAGTATTTGCTGCAGAGCAGCTAACGCCTCTCATAAAACATATTCAATTCACTCTGTGACAAAGCAGATTGAATAGCTTTGCTCTTGAGCCTTCACAATCCCACAGCAGATGAGAACAAATCCGTAAAGGAGTGCTCAGCAGGGTGTGCTGCAGCCAAAGACCACCCAAATTAGCTTGGCAGGCAGTAGGTCTCGGGGTAAGGGAGCAGGAGAGAGGACCACGAGGCAGGCAGGAGGACATGACCTAGCAGCTCTCCAAGCTGGGAAACTATGGTAATACTTTACACTAATACTTTGGGATTTAAAGATATTTTCCGGTACAGATGCAAATCTGTATTTCTTGTTCCTGTTTCTTTTCTTCTATCTATCCTATTTCTTTTGGATTATTCAGTTGCAATTTCTAGAAATTGCATGATTTCAGAAAAGTAGTATCCTCATACTATGAATTAATATATTGTAATTGCAGGATTTTAATTTTCACCTACAGTATATGGGCATATCCATCCTGTGCAACCGTTTTTATAAAAAAGTCTGACTTAGCAATTCAAACCAACTTCTGTTAGATAGAAATTCTCTTGGCAAGCAAGGAAATATGATTGCAGAGCCTGAAAATCAAGTGGAATCTTACAGCAGTGTGTTTGCTTCACTGTGTGGCACAGGACACTCTAGAGCAGGTGTTCTTCACTCCTTACTTGTACATGGTGGTACCTCTTAGAGTCAGCATTCTCAGCTGCAAATGAAGATACCAAGAAGCTGTCAAACTTCATACCATTTTTAATTCTTCTGATGTTTTACATTTTCCTTCCTAAGCAGTATTAGGTGAATTATCCAAAGTTAATTATTGTTAATAGTGTAATGAAGTAATTCTGACACAACATTAATACTTCTATAGCTTAGGTAGGAGGAGACACAGAGGCATGTCCTTTTCTACTAAATATCCAAAGGTCTTTTCAGTTGAAAAAAAGAAAAAGTATATTGGTAGGATCATTAGGATTCCTTCATGTGTCATTTAATTACAGGGGAAGCACAGAAAACAAAATGATTTGTTTTATTCAATGCTTTCTGTAAATTACAATAGACTAAGCTTTTGTACTTATGTTAAACTATAAACTGCTGATGTGTATCTTAGCAATAAAACCTTTCTTTCAAAAAAAAAAAGACTGTCCTCAAAAGCTGTTTCAGCCTAATTGTACGATCCCCACTACGTGTGTGCTTTAATAACAAAAAACTGGAACTTCTGCCTAAACTGCTGTATGATGTACTACTGGTGCTCCCCCATGCAAAATAATTCCTCCTTTTGTTCTTTTCTTTTTTCATGGATTTGGCTCTGGGTTTGTGTTCTGGAGACGGGATCTGTGCATGGAATAGAACACTTTATTGTGAGGTTTCAGGTTAGCTGGGACAGAACTGTATGTGTTGTGTGGATTTTGTGCTGACACCAGGATCTATCCGTAGGGCCAGAGGGGACATGGAAAGGAGCAAGCAGCACAGGGTCAGGCACTTTCAGAGCTGTGCTTGGTGAGTGAACAGCTCTCCCTGCTTCCTCCCTCAGGTGCTGTTTTTGGGCTCATGCCATCATATCTACCAGGCCTTCAGTGGGGCCAAATCCCTCCTTCCCCCTTCTCCCCTATGGACGGGACTTTTAATGAAACGAGCCTGAGGCCTTCTAAACCTGCAGGAAGCCAGTACCAGCCCTACATTGGCCTGGCTCTGGCAGTCAGTTCCAACATCTTCATTGGATCCAGCTTCATCCTGAAGAAGAAGGGCCTCCTGAAGCTGGCCGCCAAAGGAGTTCCCCGTGCTGGTAAGCAGCATTCCTGCTGGGCATGGCTTGATGGTTCCAGTACCAGTTATGTTAGCACTGCCAAACAACTCCTCCGTGACAGCAGCCAGATACCAAATGAAGTTCTGCCTTTGTTCTAATCTTCAAGAAATCTTTATTATTTTTCCTTAATTTTTTTCTGTTTCTTTTGAGATGGGAAGTTGTGAAATGGTCATTAGATCTCCTGTATTCTTAAAAGCCAAAAGTGGAGTGAGCTATAGAAGTATTTATCATAAGAGCTTCTACAGATAGTACAACTAACTTCCATTGATGGCAGCTGATGCAGAACTAGAAACGTGTCAAGAGGTTTAAAAAAACCTCTTCAGACTGACCTGATAATTCCCTTTACGGCACTTACATGCACAGAGGTAGCAGTTATTCTTTTGTTTGTTGCATTTATTGCAAGATCTGTTATTCCAGAGATTTCAGCACTTGAAAAAATGACGTAACTGAACGCACAATTTACTTCTATTTTGTGCAAAAATTAATGCATGCAGTGACATTTTTCTTTCTAATTTCTTTCGATTTAAATCATAAGCAGAGTCAAAAGGCAGATCTCTGTGTAAGAATATACTGGATCTGACCTGGGAAGGCACTTCAAAACATTTGTTAAGCTCATCAAGAATCTTAGTTGACACTTCACTTTTTCTTGTCACTTTTCCTCGGTGTGAATTAGTCAAAACCATTTCTCACAAGTCATAAAGCAGCAGAGTGATTAATAAAGATGTGAGTCAAATTCAGACAAAATATTAATGTCACATCCAGATAACAGGATGTTTCTATACTCTATATGATTTGATCCAAATGTGAAGCTGTGTTTTTTTTGTTAAAATAAGGTGATTTCTCTCTTCTAAGGTGAGATTTTTTTTCTCCATTTCCAGGGCATGGTGGGTATTCCTACTTGAAAGAATGGCTTTGGTGGGCTGGACTGCTTTCAAGTAAGTCACCCTTTATCTCTCAACTATATATAAACGCTGCATAGAACAGTTCATTTTTAACAAATTCATTCTCTATTTTTTCACCCACCTCAGTTAGAAGAAATATCTTTGCAATCACCTTTATGACTGAAACGATTCTGTTATCTATTTTGTTTGCTCTTTGGGATTCTTTGCAGAACAACAGCCTCTTCTTTATCATCTAGTCAGAAACAATATGGTTGAATCTGTCCAGCTTTTGTGCACTGTCACTGTTCCTTACAGGAAGGTGTAGGCTGTGTTCTGTAAATGCCTGCCTTCAGCTTTGTCATCGTAGTTATACTGCACACAGTACTTAGGGGATATGCATATAACTTTCTCCAGTCCTTATTTCCATTGTGTTCATCCAAATGTTTTTTCTTCTGCAGTGGGATTGGGAGAAGCTGCAAACTCTGCTGCTTATGCCTTCGCACCAGCAACCTTAGTTACCCCTTTGGGTGCACTGAGTGTTCTCATAAGGTCAGTGCAAACTGGAAGCAAACTGATCATTCACTGCCTGAGGGAAAATAATGTCTTTGGTTAACAGCAGATAATTTTAACAAGAAAACTGAAGGGCAAATACAGATAAGAAAGGCTTGTTGTTCCTCAGCAAGGAGGATCCCTTGATTATTTAGAAATTAATTTCCTGGGTAGAGGGAATGAAGTCTTGTCTCAAAGACTGATCCAGTCTTTGCAGCAGCCTTCCACATATTCCTTGTGTGTTTCTTACCAGCATATACCTGGTATACAGCTGATGCACAGTGTTAGAAGGCTGCAACTTATTTCCTCCTAGAGAAATGACACTTTCCTAAAGAAAAACACCTTATTCTGTTTCTCAGTATGGACAAAACTTTAGAAGAAAATACGGCATTCTCCCCTTAAAATGTTTTCAAAAACGTTTTTTGTAACAGAAGCATAATTTTATATCGAGACTCACTATGCATTTTTGGCAGATTCACACTAATCACCTGGCTGGCTGCTGCCTCTCCTTTCATGCAGGTGGCAATTTTTCACAGAAAGCTTGTGAGAACTTAATGCCAATGCAAAAAATAACTGAAATTTGATCAACAGGTTGAAAAACTGTTCATGAATACATCAGTACGCATGTGGCTGTGCCTAAGGTTGTGTGTAATTCTTGATCATAGGCACTCTTTGGTTGTCTTTTTTTGGGTCATGTTATCCTTAGGTTAAATCTTAATCCTCTGGAGAGCTCAGACAGAGATGGTGAGGAGCTGTTACCTAAACTTGCTTGTGTTTGTTCTCATGGCAAATGGAGAGCTTTAAACCATTTTTATGAGAAAACAACAGCTCACATGATCAGCTGTGAGTGTCCGAGGGCTCTGTATAAGCAGCCCATACCTCTGACCCAGGCAATCACTAATGACAAGTTCCTTAAGAAATTCAGACCCTTCAACCTAGAGGGATCTGATCAGAGTTGCTAAACTCCCCTAAAACTTCAGATTGACCTTTGTTGTGCAAAACTCCTCGTAATTTGGTTGTTTCAAGCATGTTTCCCCTATATCCAAATTCAAGAGTCTTCAAGTTGCTCATATTGCAAAGCCTCACATGTCTGGTGGACCTGAACCTTTTATTTTTGTTTTGTCAAACAGTGCTATATTGTCATCCTACTTTCTGAAGGAGAAGCTGAATATTCACGGCAAGTTGGGCTGTGTTCTGAGTGCTTTGGGTTCTACAGTCATGGTTATTCACGCCCCAGAGGAGGAGGAGATCACCTCACTGGATGAGATGGAAATAAAACTGCAAGATCCAGGTCTGTACACTTAAGCTGACATATGTCAAGGCAGACACATGACAGATTTTGATGTGTTCTCCCTTCTCTGGATCTGTTGGTGAGTGGATTGGGATAACTAATCAGAACGTCCTGGCTGCAGAACTTTCTTAAGCTGATTGTGCCAGAAACCCAGAATCCCTTAATAAATGTGTGAGCACAAACGGCTTCTGCACACGTACCGTATTTCCCAAAGATGCAGGCTTAAAAGCAGTTCATCTTACATGGCTTCTTGCAGATTATTCAAGTAAGAAATGATGCACTGAGTCTTCCTGCCCTCCAGCACGTTGAGGAGTTCTAAGGCTCTATACGCCAAGTTACCTCCACTTAAAATAAATCACAGCTTTAAATAAGGTTACTTTCAACCAGTTCTTACTTCATTTGAAATGCTGTTCAATTCTAAGTCCCAATTACTACCTTGCTCTAAGTAAGCAGGTGTTCATACTAATTCAAACAAATATCCTTGAGGTAGCCCTGGAGTACACTTCAAAGAGAATGTGTGTTTGAGAAGCGGAAGAATTTCATATGGATGAGTGTAGCATAGGACAAAATGAGCTAAATTCAAGTTAGTTCATGAGTCAGCTCATAATTTAAAAGCTCCTACAATCAAAAATTAAACATATAGTTGGCATTTTAAATACAAAGCATGTGTTTTGTGTTTATTTCAATGCACTGAGTTTGTGCTCCAGTTCTTAGAGAAATTGACTTGAAGTTGAGTGACTTTTAGCGTGTGTTTGAACATAGTCTGATCTTTCATCTTTCCTCTTTCATACAGTGTTTGTTGCGTTTGCTGTTCTCCTAATATCTGTTGTCCTCGTGTTGATTTTCATTGCGGCTCCACGGAGAGGTCAAACAAATATACTGATCTACGTTTTAATTTGTTCACTTATTGGTGCCTTCTCTGTGTCATCTGTCAAAGGCCTGGGCATTGCCATTAAAGAAATGCTGGAGTGGAAGCCAGTTTATCGACATCCCCTGGTTTATGTTTTGGTGGGAATCCTATTGCTCTCAGTCAGCACCCAGATCAATTATCTCAACAAAGCACTGGACACATTTAACACATCTCTAGTGACACCTATTTATTACGTGTGTTTCACCACGACAGTGGTGACATGTTCCATCATCCTGTTCAAGGAATGGAGTGGTATGGACCTGGATGACATCCTTGGGACCCTCAGTGGATTCTGCAGTATAATAATTGGAATTTTTCTATTACATGCTTTCAAAAACATTGATATCACCTGGAGCCAGTTGATGTCCAGTGTTACAAAAGAATCATCATTGCCACACTGCGAGTATGAAACCTCTCACACTTTACTGGAAAGCATGGAAGACCCAGCTGTGTTATATGGGGAAGACAATGTTTTATTCAGCCAATGAAACTCTCAAGTGACAGTTTCTCGTTCCACTGTCATGAACTGCAGACTTACCTGTATCTACCAGACCACTCTTCGTCACTGCTACCCTCTGGAAAACTGCCTGTAAAGGCACGCTCCTCTGTGTGCCAGATGTTGGTAATAATGAATTAAAATGTTCAATAATTGACATGAGGGACAGAAACCTGGTGGTTATAATATGTCAAGAAGTGAACAACTTTGTCTATTTTTTATGCAACATCTCCTGTTGGAGAATTTTAGCAAGAAAGGGTTTTTTCCCACATCTTGGGCTGTTCAGGGTGATGCTTGCCAGAGATTTAGCAAGAGGGCTGGATTATTAAAAATGACTTCTGATCAGCTGAGATATATACGCCAAGCAGAATCTCTTCATAAAGCAGGCTGTGTAATGTGCAAGCAGTGGAGTAAATGTTGACACTTCAGGTTCCATTGTTCTGTGAACAGAAAGCTCACAATTTTTCTGTAGGAACAAAATGGTTGCTACTGCTTGCAGCACGCTTGCACACGTCCTTGTGTTGTGCCAAGTTTAATCCTGATGCCAAAGCCATGCACCTCCTTTCTGAAAGGTGTTCATGAAACTTCTTACTTGTTAATGACTTTTATTTTAGTGAGGATTTAGAAGCTATGAAAACCTGAGTGGCTCTAGGGATACTTGAAGTTATTTCTAAACTGCAAGCATCTTTTTTTTCCACTTGAATAGGTTTGTAATTGACATATGTACAGGAGGAAGTAGTAATTGTACCAATCACCTAGACATTATTTCTAAATCCTTGATTAGATGAAGCAGGAATTCTGTATTTCCTACTGGACCTGCTTATCTACTTTTATGTGTAAATAACATCTACTAGGAAAATAATGTTATTTTCTTGCAATATCAGAAAATCAAAGTTGATGCTTATTTCCATGGCGTACAAGAACTCAAAAATGTTACAAAGTAAATTATTATCTTTTGTATAAAAGCTTTTGCTAGAAGAGATATTATTTTTGAAACTGTTCATATTTAGTAAATGATTTGGAAGAAGTTTAATTTTTACTGAAATTATGCTATTATTTTTCTTGTAATAAATTATACATGGTTTACATATTAAATGACTGGTGTTTTGTAAGCATGGGAGAAAAAAGAGAGTAATCCAAGTTTACAATCAGTAATAAAATCAGTTTTAGTAACACATCCTGTGCACACACCCAGATTCAAGATGAAAGATATCTGGATGAAGTCCCTGCAGTTCATGTGAATCTGGCTTGATCGTGACCTTCTTTTAGTCGCTTTGACTTCTACTTTTTTTCCGATAGGAAAGAAAATGTTGTACTCTCTTAGAAAGGCCACATGTGAAACTACCTTTAAATAAAAAACCTGCAGTATTCTGATGCAGGTGGAGGGCAGAGTATGGGGAGATCGAGAGGTTTTGGTGTCTTACTCAATTTTTTTGGATGTGTTATTTTCACCCTTATATTCTACAAAAAACATCAGCAAGGAGCATTTAATACTGATGATAATATTAGCTGCCAGAAGACAAGGATTTTGAGGAATAAGATTGGTAGGCAAATGAAATGTCTTCCCTTCTGAACTAGGGAAGGAAAACCAAAGCTGAATATTAGGGAGTTTTTTGTTGTGCTCATGTTTTATGGGCAGTTTTTCAGTGAACTTTCAGCAAAATGGCAGCAAAATGAAAGCTATTTTTTAAAGTAATCTGAAATTTTTGGAAAGAAGGTAGAATGGTTAACGACTGCAACAAAGGAAACCTTAAAGGCAATACATCACTAACCAAATTAGGGCTTTTAAATGCAGAAATGGAACCATCTTGGTAGTTACTCATTGCCATACCATAACTTGGGACAAACGAGCAATTAAATTAATTACACAGCTGTGCTGATTAGATGTAGGTAAATCAAAAAGACTTGCATAGGTTACATGATCTGCAGGGAATTTGGAAGGAAGCACATAGGTCATTATTCCCTTTAAGAGCCTGCCTTCCCAGCCACACTTAAAACAGCCATGCCCCAGTCAGGTCTGCTCCCAAAGAATTCTCATTCAGAACTTGAATTTCTTTACTCATGATGGTTGTGGCCTGGAGTTCTATCTTTAAACATATACTCATGCCAAATGTCATCCTCTTACCATTTAAGTTCCAGCAAAACCAAACCAGCAAATGCATTAGGAAACTTTTAAGTGTTTTTCCCAAAACTGACTCCTTTCTGGCAAGTTTCTAAACTGGATGAGAGGTAGGCAGAAGCCAGGCTGGATGATGCATGAGGAGTGGCGCTTAGGTTCCTTTGTTACCTTCTTATGAAACTTCACTGTGCAGGGGTGGGGAGGGAAAGCTGCTCTCAAAAACAAATGGCACTGTAGAAAAACTTGCCCAAACATGTAACACACAAGTGATTACTTGCCAGGAGTACTTTTGAGGATGAAAGTCATCTCACGTTCTGAAAATATGCTCCAGTTTGTCAGCAATTCAGCTTTTGATAGAAAAGGGGTACATCCTATGGGGTTGCTGCACAGAAGCTAGGACAACAGCTTCTTTTTTTTTCTCTCACCCATGATACCAGCTGGCTGGTAGTCTGTTTTATGATATTTAATGAGGAAACAGTGGCCAAATTTTTGCCATTGCTAAGCACTCTTAACATCCCTTCGGAGACACTGTGCTTCCTTCCAATCTTTACTGCTCTTTTAATAGAACCATTTAGTTTGGAAAGTCCCCTAAGAATATCAAATCCAACCAACCACCCTTTAGTACAAACCATGGCCCTTAGTGCCACATCTACACATCTCTTTCATACCTCCAAGGACAGAGACTCCAGCACTTCTCTAGGCAGGCCATTTCAATGCCTAATCACCCTCTGTATAATCAAACACTTCCTGTATAACCTGTATAATCAACACCTCTGTATGATCTAAACCTCCCCTGGCACAGCTTGAGACCAATTACCCAAATCCTATCAACTTGTCACTGAGAAAAAGAGACCGCCATCCTTCTCACTGCAACCACCTTTCAGACAGTTGTACAAAACCATGAAATCTCCCTTCAGCCTTCTATTCTCCAGATCAAACAGCCTCGGCTGCTCCTCAGATATCCTATTTTCTATCAAAAATCTCTTTTGAAATACTCAAAGGTTTATCAGGAAAAAAAAAAAACAGCTCGCAGACACATATGCCTCTGTTATCAGTAGCATGAGTGATTCTCACTGCTCACCTATCATTTCTTTCTCCTTTTTTCTTTTTATATGTCTGGGGTTTGAGGTATGCTAGGAGCCACCACAAAGGCTAAGTTGGCCTGTTGGTCTTTATATGGGTGTAGTTTCTCGAGTAAGTAAACATGCCCTACACACACAACCCTTGCCCTGCCGGACCTTCCTTCTTACTGATTAAACACTGATTCCATTGATCCTGAAGCACATGATAGTGCTTTTTAATTTATTTACTGTAAGCCTTGTGACATCAGCTATTAAATTCATCTGCGTCAGAGTGGTGACATCAGCCCACTCACAGTTTGCCCAGCCTCCAGAAAGGTGGAATTCTGAAAATGAAGGAATGGTAGGCAAGTATTACTTTCCATCTGAGACCAGTGTGTGTCAAAGATACACTATGGGACAACTCAACAATGCAAACAAAAGCAGGGTGCTTCAAGAACTTGAAATTACCAGAGCCCCTTTTAATTGCATGGTACTGTGGTATTACATATTAACTTGTAGTAATTCATGTAGCAAAACCAGTTTTACAAGAGCTGTTGTAAAATATTCCTCTTATATTATTAAAAGTCCCTGAGTGCGTTTATACTTCAGACAGAGTTTGAATTATTTTTTTTTTGTAGAGCATCATCAGCTCAAAAGCACTGTATTACTGTACTACAGGCATAAACTTGCAATGAGCTCAAAGCAGTGGTTTGTACAGTATTGTATAGGTTTGTGTGCAGTTAGAGGGCTGAGATGGAACTGAATGCTCATGAATAAGTCAGTTATAAAAGTAAACAGAGCCATATGCTGGTGGCAGTTCTTTCAGCAGATTACACAAAAGGATGAGAATATCATGTTTCACTTGAGCAGAAGGATCTTAAAAGCGTGTGTGTGAAGTTACTCCCAAATAGTAGAGTTAAGTACTCCCTTCCCCAAGGGGTGGTAACTATGAGAATGCTATTACAGTAAAAATGAACTATTATTGCCATGAATTTGGCCCAGAGGTGTCATCACCTTCTGGAAATCCAAAACTCAGAATGATTGATTGTATTGTTTCATTTACTTTTAAAATGTGGAAATGAAAAAACCTGTTCAGATGTCCATCATTCTTCATCTACTGGCTTGGAAGTATTTTGTCTACGATGTGCTATAAAATGAAATACGATGTACTTACCTATTAACAATTCACAGCACAATCACATTTTTAAACTACTATTTATTTGTAATGACCTGACTGTATTGAAAAAAAATCACCAAATTCACTTGCCTTTTCTGTAATACATTTGCACTAACCAAAATTAAGAATTAGAAGTGAACAATAAGCTAACAGGCACAGTTACAGATATGGTGCAAGTAAGGTCTCACAAACTCTATTTGAGCTAAATTAACATAAAACACTTTATTTAATGGCCAATTTCCAGCCTCTCTTTGTTCACCATTCTGGGCACTGGCAGGAGGAGGTCTAAGGAAAGCATTTGATGGGCATTTGAGTAAGCTGCAGCAAGCAAGAAATGGAAGACAGTGAAAAGTTCAGGGAGAAGCTTGAATAAAACAATCTATACTTGTTCCCTCTGTTTCACACAAAATTAGCCTTTACCTATGAGCAGGATTAAAATTCCTCAGGGGTGCTGAGCCCTTCCAGCTGTTTGGGGTGTGGGTCAGGAGCTGCCAAAGGACAACTGCTGCCTCCACCCCTTCTGTGTGTCTGGATCCCCAGCAACACGCAGTGCAGTATCCGGGCAAAAATCCGCATGCTGCCCTGGTGGCTGAGTTACCTCTGAAACTGCTCCATTCCTTCAGTGTTATGCAGTGCAAAAGGTTCTGCCTTTAGTCCTGGAACTTTTTCACAGGTTCTTCCACCACTTTTGCTGCTGCTAATCACTATTTCCTTGTGCATGAACCATATTAAGTAACAAATCATCTCTTATCAATGTTGTTACAGGAATTAGAGTAGCTCTGACAAAAAGAATAAGGAAAAGAGCTTATGTAGTGAGTAAGCTTGGTTGCTTCTTTCTAGATAGGACATTTTTCATGGAAATAAAGGCTTGAGAGTACAAATCCAGTAATCCAGTCTCCTTGGGTATCTTTCCCAAATTAGGCCAAGCCCAAACAGCTTCAATACAGGGATGCTGCTACCATAGTTTAAGTAAAGACTGCTCTAAAAGGCTGACGTTTTCAATATAAGCTACATTGGCCACCTTAATGCTCACTTTTCAGTACACACACCTGTATAAAATCCCCAATTATCCCATCTCCATTATATCTGTGAGGGCTTCTACTAATTCTGCAAAAGTAGGACGTCCTTCAGGTTTCTGGAAAAAAAAAAGAAAAAAGAAAGCAGAAGAGACACTTAAATTAATAGAAGATGGTTACAAGTACAATTAAAGCAACCACTTAAAATTATTATTCATATTTTATTTTGTTGACACAGATTGAAGAGATCAAGTTTATCTTGTTCTGCACATCAATGTGCCAGAAATCAATAGAATGAAAAAGTACTTTCAGAAGAAAGCATTTGTATGCAAAATTCCTATGCACACTACAGGAGGAAGCACAGGGGATATATTGACAGGGTATATATATTCAAAACCAGAGATGGCATAGACCTATTGTGTAGGTTATATGCTTGGTATTTACTGAATGCAACAGTCAAAAGAAACAGAGGCTTTTAAACTAGATGTGGTTTGTGAAAAAGCACAGCAAAAATTACTGAGGATTCTACAAAGTAGAGGTTTATTGCTCCAGTTTTTGAGGATAGCCTTCAGATCCACACTGCAAGTGAAGTAATGTCACAAGACAGACCAACAAACCTCATGCCAGCAGCTGTACATGACTTCGTACACAGCGTGCGATGCCAAGTGTGGTCGATAAAGTCGGTTACCTGCAGAAATCTCACGGACAACTTCATAATTTGATTTACTTTCAAAAGGCATTTTGCCTTCTGTGAAAACTTCCCACATCAGTACACCTAGAAATGAATCAAAATATGTAGGAGAAAGCAAGTTGTCTAACAATACTAGAAGTCCCATTCTTTTCTATGTATTTAATAATGAATGAAAAATATGGGCAACCTGAGGTGAATGAAAAAAAAAGTAAACTGATGTAATTATGCTCATATTGAAGCCAGCTAAGGTCATGGTTCATGAAAATGAAATTAATAAGCATTTGGTTAATGGAGACATATGTCTGTTGACAACCAATTTTTTTAGATTAAAAGTGTGTTAAAAAAAACCACACACACTCTTCCTATACAGACAAGATTTGAAAAATGAGATAGACTAAAGATTAAGATAGGAAACATCCAGAAAAGTTGCTCTTTCCTCGTTCTTATCAGTAGTTTTAGGGAAACAGCTTGTCACACATTAACCTAACCCACTTACCAAATGACCAGATGTCAGATTTACTGCTGTACTTTTTGAAATGAAAGACTTCAGGAGATGACCACTTGATTGGAAACTTGGCACCTGAAGAGCTGACATATTCATCATCAATGACGTATCTAAAGAACATCAGCAAATACCGTGTATTTTAGTGAGAGTTAAACTGAAAGCAGTTCTGGCAGCACCTTGCACAGGTAGTTTACAATTCCATGAAAACACTGTGTCAGTTTGTAAGAAAAGAAATTATATCATTAATTTAATATAGAATGCACACTGGAATACATGCAGTTAAAGAAATTTCAATCTAAATGACTAATTTGATTGCTTGTGAGAGGTATGTCATAATAAAAAGATTTAGTGCTATTTGTGTGCTCACAGGATGGCTGTTGTTATCACCTCCTGGGAAAAGTCCCTATGCTGCAGGCAGGAAAAACAGCAGCAATACATATTATTATTACTTTTTAAGAAGAGAAGGAATGGTCTTAATTTGTGCCCAGGGAGGTTCAGTTTGGATATTAGGAAAAAATTTCTCTCCATACCTCGGGTGATGAGGTATGATAACAAGCTGCCCAGGGAGGTGGTGGTGTGACTATCTGGAGGAGTTACAGAAATGTATAGATAGAGCACTAATGGACATGGTTTAGTAGGCAATACAGTGATGAGTTGGTAGTTGGACTAAATGGTCTTTGTGTCTTTCCTAACCTTAATGATTCTATGAATTTATGTGCCCAACAAGGGCATTTGTACAGTAATATTTTAAAAGGCTGAGCCCAATATCCAAACAAGCTCTGTAAATTCTCATGAGAAGACGACAGGTATGCACTACACAAATCTTACAACTGAAGACATAACGGTATCTTTTAATGCACCTTTCAAAGGATTTTGCATTGAAAGAATCATAGAATTGCTCAGGTTGGAAAAGACTTTCAAGATCATCATGTCCAACCTCAATCTAACCATATCACCCTATCTAACAACCCTCTGCTAAATCATGTCTCTGAGCATTTCATCACCCAAGGATGGTGACTCAACCTAAACCTCCCTGTGGAGCCTATTCCAGTGCTTAACAACCCTTTCTGTAAAGTTTTTCCTGATATTCAACCTAAACCTTCCCTGGCACAACTTGACGCCATGAGGAATTGCTTCTTTGTGTCCCTTTCTTATTTCTGGGGCAGGCACAGAAAGATGAGAGGTTACTGGATAAAGAACATACAAAATAACAGTACTAAACTGGTCTGTTCTGAGCTCTGACTAATTAGGGAGTGTTCTCATCACCTCTCAACAGTGGACAGAGCTTTGTTTCCCTGGCCTGTGTGTGCACTCTCTCTTCATGTGTGGTTGGTCCCCTCACTAAGCAGAAAAACCACTTCCCTGCTGAGAAGCACACGTCACACTTCCTGCCCACATGTCTTCCTTCCTCACCTACCCTGTTGCTGAGGCTCCAAAGGCCAGCGCCAACACCTGCCTCTGCTCCCAGTGGCTTTCAGCTCTCACTGGGCTCGGAAATTTGGAGCACTCACTTTACTGAGCCTAGAACCACGCAATCATACAATGGCTCAGGTTGGAAGGGACCCCAAGGATCATCAGGTTACAAACCCACTGCCACATGCAGGGCCACCACCTCCAGATCTGGTACTAGACCAGGCTGCCCAGGGCTCCATCCAACCTGGTCTTGAACACCTCCAGGGACGGGGCATCTACAGCCTCTCTGGGCAACAGGTTTCAGCACCTCACCGCTCCCTCTGCGAAGAACTTGCCCCTGACATCTAATACAAACCTTCCCTTCTTGAGCTTAAAACCATTCCCCCCTTGTCCTATCATTATCTATCCTTGTAAGAAGTTGATTTTTCTTCTGATTATAATCCCCTTTTTAAATATTGGAAGGCTGCAATGAGGTCACCCTGCAGCCTTCTCCAGGAAGCAGAGTGAGCTTCTGGCAGCCCAGGGCACACTGGGCATTTCTATGTCCACAAACTACTGCTTTCAGTAGTTTCATTCACAAGATATTTTGTTCACCTCTGTTGCACTCAGCAAAAGGACAATATGACACTCTGTTCACAGTACAACAGATGAACAGCAATATTATTGATTTGATCAGAATTGTAGATGCTGTGTACAGTGAAATTTCCCACACCAGCAAGCAAGAAGTGGTGATGGGCCTCGTCCCAACTGACACAAAATAGGGCACTCACTGAGCTTGTATCTCCTACCTTGCCATGCCAAAGTCAGATACTTTAACAGTGTATTCAGCATTGACTAAACAGTTCCTTGCAGCCTAGGAGAAATGAGAAAAACATATCTGAAATCCGGCCAAAGGCATTTTTAAGAAGAATACAATAGATAATTTACTTTCAGCTCATGTATTTCAGATCCTGAAAGGAGGTGTGTGTCTTGCTCAAAAAGATGACAAAAAAGTAAAATTCTGGCTCAGTGCTGGTGAACACCTTTCACTGTTGTGTGATTTCACGCACATAGCATATACCTGCATGAATGCTTGTATCATGAGTTGCAATAATTTCAAGTATCCTTGCACAATTAAAATAAGTTTTCAAATGCAGAGTTTAGTTATCCAAGCAGGTATTTTCTTGAATGTTAACATCAGGACACTCAATATGAATTATTAAAAAAGCGTTTCTGTGACTCTTAATTCCCTGTGTCTGAAGGGCAGGGCAGACAAGCCACCTATATATCCCAGCACCAAGGTAAGGCAGCAGGGACCAGAAGAAGCGTGAATACACAAAGGCTTTGTTAAAGCCTTGCAGGGCACAGAAGCACCCCTAAATTTAAATGGCATGTTCTATATCATCAGTATTCAGTGAACCTCAGAAAACCCATTGTACTTACTAAATCACGGTGAATAAAGTTATTTCTCTCCAGATACTCCATCCCTTCACACACATCCAGGCACATGCCCAGCAGCATGTCTCTGCTGAGCTTCCCCCGCCACTGTCGCAGGTAGTTGAGCAGGCAGCCATTCTCCAGGAATTCAGTCACCACATAGAGAGGCTTCTGGCGTGTGCACACCCCGTACAGCTGGACCAGCTTTGGGTGGGATAGTTTCCTGTTTAACATTGTTTAAAACTGCATTTCAGTTAGTAGATCATTTGTTTCTGGTAGGTAGAATCATAAAATCAAAGAATATCCCAAGTTGGAAGGGACTCATAAAGATCATCAAGTCCAACTCAAAAGATAACTAGAACTTTCATTCATGATCAATTATCATGATAATTCTGACAAACAACTTCAGTGTTTTATAAACATTATGCAATTCAGCTATCCCTGGAGTTGTCCTCTGCCTAACGCATTTCTGTAAGCAATTTCCTCAAAAAGGTTCATTTTGCAAAATTGTGATAGTCCATCAGTTATACAGGTGGAATGAATATAAACCTTGATTTGGAAATATGAAGCGGAAAGGTCTTATTTTGTCTGGCTTTCAGGCAGGGGACATGAGAGGCTGCAAGCCCATGGCTTTCCCTGTGGGCTCTGCTCAGCCTGACATGACACCTCTGTTTTTACCTCTTTCTATGCATTGAGCCAACACCTGGTCCGGATAATTCCCTAATTTTCAAAATTAGCAGGAATGGAAATACAGCTTCTGAGAAGTTAGGTTTAGTTAGGTTTAGTTAGTTCTGCCCATGCTCCTAGAGGCACTGAGTTATAGACAAAAGAATGGCTGTAGGAGTAACTGTCAGCACATTTATTGCCTGCTAGGCTCCAAGTGCAAAGCAGCACACATGCTAAAGAAAGGCCCTGGTGAGCTATTTAGCAACCATTACACTAGCTTTTTGGTCCACTATTCCCATCACAATAGCTTTGTTTTAAATGGACTTAGGTTATGTTTGTTTCTTGGTCATCTCAGTGTCATCTGTGAGCCAGAATAACTTTGTACTTACATCATCAATTTGGCCTCCTCCATGAAATCGTCTTCAGACATGGCACCTTCGTTGATTTTTTTGATGGCAACCTTGATGGTTGCTTTCCATTTACCCAGATGAACAATTCCAAACTGCCCACGCCCAAGCTCTTTCATAAACGTCAGTTCCGAGGGGTTCAATTCCCACTCCTCTATAAAAACAATCCTGTATATTACAATAGTCTAGGAGACATGCCTATGTGCAGTTAATGTACACAGCAAAGTATCACAACTGCTCATCAGCTATAGCATGGATTTTAATTATCTGGAATTTTCCACACATGTATGTGTTCATACATGAGTGGTACTTTACAGCTTGTAGAATGCTGTTTAAATTGTTTAACATAGGAAAGCCTGAAGCCTGAAGATAAGGCAAGAAATTGGTTTTGATTACCTCTGAGGATTATTTTTTTGGCACTGTCATCTATGTTTTTAACTTTAAATCAGTTCCAAAGGGCTAATATAGCCATAGAAATAGTCACTGACTGTCTCTATTGAAACTACCAATAGTTCTGCCCTCCAGAAATATTAAGCCTTGATATTGATTCACAGTAAAAATGCACAGTACAAATTTTGGAAATTCATATAGATATATATACACGTACATACAAATACACATGTGTATATTCATACATACACATCTATCAGTTAATATTAACTTCCTGATCTGCATGCACAGCACCAGCATTTACTGCTTGTTTTCTAACGCTGTGTAAGACATCATTCTTATTTCTAAAACTTCCATAATTGACAAAAGAAAATCTTCCCCATCGACAATATTAATTTTATTTTCATAGACTTTTAAATAAAAAAATCAAGTCTGTTAAATGTATATGTGAGTTTCTGGTCTGCTTATGGAAGTCCAGAAAGGCATTAGTGGTTGTGAAAGAAGCACTTCACTAAACTGAAGGAATTGAGCCAGGCCTTTCATTTGGATTTGACACCTGAGGTGTGTGAGTCTGGTGATTATGAAGCTGATTATGTGTTTCTTATGGCTGGGAAATTTAACAGACACAATTATTAGCTGTATGAATGCAATCTCAACTCTTTCCCAGATACCCAGGTTTCCACCAAAACAAGATAAAGAATTTACCATAACTAAATCCTGCTGTTGCTGGTGAGGAACATCTGATTGATCTGAGTGGATGTCGGAGACGGGTGATAAGACCTGCAGGAAACAAAGCACCAATATTCAGTTGACAAATTGCTCCATATTTAAGTATACTACATCATACTTGCTCTCAAAAAATATTTTTGTCTCTACTCACTTGTGGAAAAAAAACGTTTTAATCCATATTGAAATGACAGGCAGAACCAAGAATGAATGGCATTTTGAATGCTAGAAATTAAAAAAGGCTGCCATGAGCCAACAAGTAGGGGTAGGCTGCAAGTCAGTGTTAGAGAGTCCTTGTGCCTCCCAAATCTGCCTTTTGTTTGTGTGTGCCAAAATCTGCAAAAGCTGCCTGCTGGTGCATAGCACAGCTCCTGTTTTTCTCCTGTTTTTCCTCAGATTGCATGCATGCAAGCTGCTGAGTTGAAGGCAGTGAAAGAACTATGATCAAATTTAATGCAAGTCACATTCAATGAAATATGAATCAATAGAATACAGAGCGGGTAAGAACATAAGGCTTCTAGTTTCATTCGTTTTTATGAATGAAATTTCATTCATATATATGAGTTTGGTATTTTCATTTCCCCCAGGATATATGCACATTGTAGCTACAACTTCAGCAGAAAGGATCACAGTATACTTGAATTTATTACCAATAGAAAAAAATGTGTATCTTTTTGGAAGGGAAGGATTAGTTCAAGACTGACATCCCATTTCTCAAACTCTTATGAGCTTCAGGACATCAGTAGTAAAACCTTATAGCTTACATCCATTACCTGCAGCATTGTGTTGATGATATTGAATGAGATCAGGAATAGAGGAGAATAGATATTTTTCTGCTACATAATACTGTTTCAAGTGGTTTTTCTTAATTTGATAATGTCGAATGTCTCCACCATGACTTCTGAAATCAACAAAAGATTATGATTGTCAGTAAAAATATTTGATACTACAAATGTAACTATATTTTACTGGTATGGCAGCCAGAGCACTTTGTGTAAAAACAGGCAAAATGGGATTGTAAGGCTTTATTGTTTGTGCCACACTGCTGAGATGATCAGTCCTTGGAGTAGAGTATTTCAGGGTTTCTGTGAATGCAATTGATCTTATCATAGGATATTGGCACCCTGACTCCCAAAAGCCCAGCACCAGCATTTCAGTATATGGGCTGCAATTCACTGACTGTAGTGCTGCACAAATAGTGCTGGTGCCTCATTGCTCCCTTGCACCATATATCCAGCCTGCCCCTCATCCCAAGGAGTTTTAGGGAAACTCTTCCTTCACATTTTCAATCAAATCACAACCATCAGAGCAACTCACCCTTTAGACCGTGAATACACAGACAGTGTAAGGATTCCCTGTTGGCTTGAATCTCTGACAACAAATGAGCCTTCTTTGGACTATTAAAGAAATGCAGACATTTACTTTCTTGAATAAAAGTCTCCTGAAATAGCACTTGCAGATGATTACTGATTTCACTGGTGTACCTATGACTACTTGGGAGGGTGATACAGCAGCAGTGAACAGGAATTGATAACAAAGGAGAGTAAAATTAACCAAAGGAAAATATCAAGTGCCAGAGTTAAATATTTTGTTAAATATTCTTCAGTGTGAAATAGTGAAAATTCTTTCATTTATTAAAAATTCGGATTATACAAGTCACTAGATAATTGCTGTAAAACAATTTAATCTTTGGTGTTCTTCTCTGCTCTATCTTGCCCAAGCCCTGTGTTAGCCCTTGAGCCCTTGAATTTTACACAAGCTAGATGACATCTAAACACCCATCAGAGATAGAGGATAGAACACAGCAGATTGTTTGATCTGTATATAAGGAAGGATCAGGGGTTTTGTTAAGCTCTACCACCTCACTAACTTCTGCAAGGATTTAAGTCTTCAGTGTTTCACACCAAAGACAAGCACAGTAAGCTCCACGTAACTCATGTCATTCAATATGGAAAATCTTAATTTGCTGGGGTTACAATGTAAAATTTTGGGATGTCTGGACAGTCTGCACTACACTGTACCCCAGAAAGCCATCCTTTTATTTTAAAGTACCTTCTCTTACTGTATGTCAAACAGAGTTGGATTTGGCTGTTGAAACTCTCATGATGCCTCTACTGATAATCCTTTGTAGATATTATTAACTCAACATACAGGCTGAATTACCTTCTGTCGCAAAAGTAGTTCTGCCTGGCTTCTGTTGATGCTCTTGCAATACCACCTGCAACAAGGAGATGACACATCAACTTCAGCCAGTACAAATTAACGTTTGTTCTGCTTCACAGAAATAAGGGTTAGTCTTAATAGTTGCTCTGTCTCCAATGTTAACACCTGAATAGAACTAACCACTGTTGCATATCAAGCATCTCTTAATGTGGAAATACTTCATTAGACCACAGTAAATAAGACAAATACTTTCCCCACTGAATGTGATTCACTATAATTAAACGCGAGGTGAAATAAAAGGAAAAAAAACAGGAAACATTTATGCTAAATTTTGATGAATTTTACAGTGAAGCTGCTTCAGCCCCCTCTTCTCTAGAGTTATGATGTATTTTACTTTTCTCTCCAGGAAACCAGGCTGAAGAAACTGAAAATAGATTCTAGATAATCAACTGGATGTTCACAAAGGGAAGAGATCAGAATAAAGAGATACTATGTAGTAAGCCTACAGAAATAGGACATATCTAGATTCTGTAATTATGATTTATCATAATTATATGATTATTATGATTGATTTCATCAATCACAACCCCTAAATTCTTCTAAGCAGGGCTACTCTCAAGGAGTTCTTCTCCAAGTTTGCACACACACCTGAGGTTACCTCGACCCAGGTTCAAAACCTTGCACCTTGTTTTGTTGAACCTCATTAGGTTCACATGGACCCATCTTTTGAATTTGTCGAGGTCCCTCTGGATGGCATCCCTCCCTTCTGCTGTATCAACTGCACAGCTCAGCTTGGTGTCATCATCATATTATACAGTCCAAACAGACAGACCACAATAAAAACGTTTACCACATTCTAAGGGTGATATTTTGTAACAACAACAACAAAAAAAAAAGGCTTCAATAAAGAGAACAAAGAGAACATCTGTTCACAGTCAGTCTTCTGGTAAAAGCTGAAAGATCAAGCGCCAAAACTTACCACTCAATTTTTAGAAAAGAAAGTACAGTCATTGTCTTCAAGAGTACTTACTCATATGTTTCTAAATTACTTTTTGTGTTCTCAGTAACATAGTTGCTAGGAATTAGACCTTCGTTCCTGAAACGTATTAAGGATAATATAATAGTAAGATGTAAAATATTAATAGGACTAAGATACACATCTTCTTTTACTGAATGACAGAAGTTATTTATACTATATGTCTTTAAATACTGAATCCCAGCATGAGAATCAAATAAGAATATAACTCCTTTCACCTGAGGCAAAGTGTTTCTGCCCCCGTCTGTGAATGGCTACTGAAATGACGGTACTTAGTAGAGTGCCAAGAACAGCATGTTAAGGAAAATTTTCAAGTAAAATCAAAAGAAAGATTAGAAAAAAAGTGACATTTCTTCCAAATCAGAAGTCACTAGCTTTATCTCTATCCTTGTAACAGATCTTCAATACGAAGAAATAGAAAGTGTGTGGTTGAACATATACAAAATAATAACAGAGTGGACTCTAATGGCAAATCTGACTTGAGAATAAGTGTTTAAAAGTATTTAAAGGAGGGATGTGAATGAAAAGGAGATAGTTAATACATAACATGTAATCACTCTTCATATCAGATTACAGGACACACTGAAAAATTGTGGAGAAAGAGAAACATCATGAAAAAATATATAAATTCATCAAGGATCCTAAAAGAAGTTATCCAGTTCTCTAAAATGTCCAAGAACCTTTGATTAGGGGTTTTGTTTAACTTCAATGTCTTACCAGTCTCTGTGGTTTTTATGAAGACTTTACACATACACAACACATGGTAGAGCACTTGAAGCATATAAAGCTGGATTTTCACATGGCTCAAAGCTCAGTGGTTCACATAGTCCTCAGATGTACTTATGTTGTTTTGGAAGTTACTAAGCCTATGACTTAACCTTGTATTCCCAGCAGAGAGGAGTTGCCACCTCATTTCTGGAGTGCTAGATACTGTCCAAACTCTTCTCAATTAACCCGCGTCCCTGGTACATACATTCTCTATACCTTTAAACCTCCATTAAAATTACATGCACCTCATCCTACATGCTTAGAGGGTTGTAAGATAATCCTACAAAGAGCTGTTCTTTTTATTTCTCTGTAGGAAGAAGGTTTAAAATTCGATGCCCAGTCTCTTACCCATACTGGTCTCTAGCCTTCCACCAGTGAGGATCATACTGTTCAAGAATAATGTATTCTTCTGACTGCTTGAGTGTTAAATCAGACGGTCCTCTAGCAAAAAAGTCATATAGTGCAATAACTTTGAGTTTCTTTGTGTAGTCTTCAAAAGCCTCAGCAGGCAGAGGAGGTAAAGGCTTGTTCTTTACATGCAATTTCTTCTTATGCTAGTGAAAAAGAAAGTATTTTCCATAATTAGTATTTTCTCTCATCTATTTCTTGTATAATTCCCCTACTTCTATAGCATCTCAGTAACTAAAAGGTACTAATCATGGTCATAAATTCATGCCATACAGCTCAATAACCTTGTAAAATTATTACTTGTAAAACAGTACAGCTCACAGTTGAATAGTTTGGTATCAAAGTCAAAGTTTAAATGAGAAGTAAAGTAAATAAAAGACAAGCCATCTATCTAATCTTCCCCCTGTTCTTTGGGTGACTGCTACATAGAATTCTGCATAGCAGACTGCTACAATTGCTAGGACAAGTTAGTGTAAATTAGCAGAGCAGCATTGAAAACAGTGGCAATTTGTCTGATGAATTAACACGGAGAGCACTACAAACATTTTTAACAATTGAGCAGGAGCATAAGCTTTTTCTTACCCATCAGGTTAGGTTTTAGTTTTGCCTTCAGTTATGCTCTGACAACTCAAATTAATTCAATTTAGATCTAGCAAAACTGAGGTGGACTTTTCACGTGAAGCTGAGCAAGGTGGATGGATGTGTGCATCAGTACAAGTTAGGGGGTGAACTGCTGGAGAGGAACTCTGCAGAGAAGGACCTGGGTGTCCTGGTGAACAATAGGTTGACCATGAGCCAGCAGTGAGCCCTGATGGCCAAGAAGGCCAATGATATTCTGGAGTGCATTAAAACAAGTGTGACCAGCTGGTCAAGGGAAGTGATCCTCCCCCTCTACTCTCCCCTGATGAGGCCATTTTTAGATGATTGTCCAGTTCTGGGCTCCCCAGTTCAAAACAGGCAGGGATCTCCTGGAAGGAATCCAGCAGAAGGCCACAAAGATGACAAAGGGCCTGGAACATCTCCTGTATGAGGAATAGCTGAGTACCATCAGTCTGTTCAGCCTAGGGAAAGGAAGACTGGGGGGTGATCTCATTAATGTTTATAAATATCTAAAAGGAGATGGAAGGCAAATAGATGAGGCCAGGCTCTTCTCGGTGGCGTGTAGTGATAGAACAAGCAGTAATGGCTTAAAACTTGAACAAAGGAAGTTCCATGTAAGTATGAGGAAAAACTTCTTTACAGTAAGGAAGACAGAGTACTGGAATATGTTGAACAGAGAGATTGCAGGGTCTCTTTCTACAGAGATATTCAAGACCTATCAGGGTGCCTACCTATGGGACGTATTATAGGGCACCTGCTTTAGTACAGGGCTGGGCTCAATGATCTCTTGAGGTCTCTTCTCACTCCTGCAATTCTGTGATGGTGAAATTGTGCCTTCCTAAAGGGTAGTCCCACCTTTCCCACCTCCACCAGCCAAACTCAAAAGTTAGAGAATGAACTACCCTCATCCATGACAGCAAACTTGGGAACCCACTACAATCCTGTCTTTCCATCAGAATGAATCTTTCGATACTCTAGTTTTTTAAATAATTACGCAACAAAGCAACCTATGTGCTCAAGAGCCAGTTACTCCTCTGCTTGTTTCAGCAGTGAGCCACTGGATGTCACATCATCTCAGTTTTTTTCATCTGCCAAAATGTTACTTACCTTACACTTCCAAGTAGGTGCATAGGAATCCTCTGATTGAGAGGCTGTGTACTGGGCCTCCAGGTCAGTGTCAGGGTCCACATTTATCTTTGTTCTCATTGCTCTAATTTAAAAAAAATAATTAGTGTTTTTGTGATTACACTTATATAAACATCCACATGAAAATATTTATGGAAATGTAAAGCTTCATTCACATTAGGGATGTGCAGGACAGAGCTTCTTTAAACTTCTGCACAATTAGTATTTCTACTGAAGATTGATGGACTTTAAAAATTTTACAACAGTTTTTAAAATAGGTGGACTTTATGTATAGACATTTTGACTGTCTCAATTGCTGAAAATCTGAAGGATTTCACATACCGTTTTTGTACCTCACAGCAGCAGCAGCAGCAGAAAACAGACTGGATGGTGTGATCTGTAAATAAGAACATTTTCCGCATATGCACTGATTATTTGTTTATGAAATTTACATAATGAATGACTACTTAGCTCTCTTATTAATTCTTTCTTGCTGTGAGATATCTAGCAAAACATTAAGGTGGAATTTGCATCCACCAAAGAGAGCTGAGCTTTCCTCCCAACCCACCTGTATCTACCACTAGCAGCATTAAAATCTCTTTTAGTTACGAGGCTGCTCATTAAATCAGAAAGAAAAAAAAAAGACATCAGTGAGGTATGTACTGATCTAAATGACCACACTGCCAGTACACAGAATGACATGGGAATATCATTATGGACAAGAGATAGAGAACTGATCCTCTTCAGCAATCAGAATTTCTACATCACCTGAACCAAATACAGACCAGCATTTGCATTAGATTTTCTTATTCTGAGACTTACTCAAAGGATATACAGTATATTTTATTATTTAAATACTGATTTCCCTGATTCTGTTCCAGCCATTCACATAATATATTCATTAACTCAGGTTTAACAAAATACGTGCTTTACACTTACTTACTAGGTGGTAGATAATTCTGAAATAAATACAACAGAAACACCATCACTTACATTGTACATTTACAGAAATGTTAGTGTGGTATATCTTGTACGAGGAGCAAGGATAATACACTATAATTCCAGCTGATTTAAAATGGATTAGAAGTCATTACAAAGACTTGAAATCTTTAAAAGGTTGACATCCACACTATTCCAGTTCGACACAGGCTCTGGTATGGAGGTCATAGCACAAGAACAGGTCTCAGAATGTTATTTGAAATAGGGTTCCTAAGGTCTAGGTATTTTGCTCTTTTAGCCTGTTGACAGTTGGACTTGGTGATATTCATGGTCTTCTCCAACCTAGATAACTCTATGATCATTTACACGATGTATCCTCGCACATACCACGTCTTCACTTGTTTCTCCCTCGTACAGTTTTTGGCTTGTTAATCCTAACAACCTGTCTTTGAATAAAAAGGTTTTGTTTTTCTGTCAACCTGTGACAGTATTTGTCAATGTATTTTATCAATAGTTCAGCACTGTGCTGACGTGCTACCAAAACATTTAGTAACCCCAAAAAAAGCAATTATTTTCTTTATAAAGGAATATGACTCAGTAAATCTCATTGTAATAAAAGAAAAAGGAGAAAATATGGAGAAAAAGGAGATGTCAGAAAGGTAAGAAAAAGTAGTTCTCAGTCAGTTGTGGAAGAGACCTATTTTATATGTGTTTTGATTAGAGTATTTGTCATGAAAGTTGTAGGGCATTTCCCTTAGACTTAGAGCATCATCCTGTAAAGAACCTGCTGTGTGGGAAGGTGGCTGACCTACACTAATCAGAAGACACAATCAACTGTTTGATAAAAGTTTCCACTAACAGCTATGCAAAATACCCAAACCAGATGACAGTGGCAATTTTCTTTGAAGAAACCAGGCTAAAAACTTGAGGGTAATGTAATTTATTTGCTGCACAACTTAAGTGTATTAAGCTGTCTCTCAGCTGCTTAAAACTACAGCAGCTTAACTTTGAACACAGTCTCTAGCATTGTTGGGCAGTAGAATTGAGTTTGCTAGTGTCTTCAGTGTGATCAAGCTTGGAACAAACAATCCTTTCAAAAAAATCAGCTGGGAAATATTTCTGTTTCATTTATATTGCTTTTCTGCTCCTGGAAAAAAAAAACAAAAACAAAAACAAAAAGACAGAAAGAGAAAGAGAAAAAAAAGAGAAAAGAAAAACAAACGAAAAACCCTAGAAGTTAAATTATTACTTATTTAAGTGAGGTGCGAAAAGAAAACTTGTCTATTTCTGATGACACCCCATATAGTCATTAAATATGTCATTTCTCATTAGATTTGTGGTCCTCATAGAAGCTTATTAGAAATAACTAGAACCACTTCAGAGTTTCAGCATAACGTGAAATTGATGTTTGAGTAAGATTTTAAAGATGGCAACACATAGCCAAAGCTGGAAGTCAATGCATAGGTTAGACCATGGCTGTAGCCAGAAAAGCCTGTCCTACATCAGCCTACTTTTTTGAAATACTTGGCCAACACTGCAAATAGTGACAGCTTTGCCATGCTGAACAATTTGATTAAAGTGGCCTACATCCGTATCTTTGCTAGCAACACAAGCAGATCTCTACATGTAGAACCGCCTCCAGATGCCCCTGTGATGCTCACTGCACAGCTACAGGAAACCTGCACTTCCTGCCTGAGGCTTTTATGGCTGCACACACCCTCCCAACGACTGAGGCTCTTCCTTTGTCTTTATCTTCTTCTACTCAAAAGCTTTAAACCAAAATTTAAAAAAAGTTAAATAGACATCTCTCCATATTTAAATAAAAAAAAAGCAAGTAAGAAATTAAAAGTGGATTTTTAGCATTTCCTCTTGAATCTCTGTTCTGCTAAATCGTATCACCCTAAATCATATTACAGGAATCAATGGAATAATTCTGATTTCCCTGTTTTGAATTAAGGACTTTTTCTTAAACAAAACACTGGATTCAAAGATGTTTAGTTGCATACAGATTAGCAGCCCTTGATCCTCTGATCATTGAAGAGTTCATTATTTAAAAATTAAGCAGTGATGGTATCAGTGAATGCAGCACTTCAGAAAGAAGAAAATTCTCCAGCACCCACAGCGCCACTAGTCCTTTCAGTCCATGTTCCCTTGAGCTCTGTCAAAACATAAGCTACAAAAATACATTTGGCTTTGATCCTTAGGAAGTAAGGATCTCTAAGAAATCAGTTGGGTGGAGAACCTGAAATATAGGTTCAACTCAAACAAGATGAGAATTTAGGCTACTGAATCCAGGATTCTTTAGCTGTGGGGAGAATTTTCTATTTCTAATTTCCAACAAACATTTGCAATCTCAGAGATCAGCCAATTCTACAAATAGTTTAACATGGGGACAAAAAATGTGGCCCATTTCATTACCAGTATCTTTTTCTTCCTAGAAATTGGTTTTTTAAAAGTTGCATTTTCCTGATGACAGATTAGCAAGTATGAAACCTAACACCAGCACAAACCATGATAACCTATTTATAGGACTATGATGCCCAAAATCAACTTTTTTTTTTTTTTTTTAGCTTGCCTGGTTTTGAGAAGAGAGAAGATATATTGACAAGTGAGTCCTGTGGAAGAAGCAGAAATCCTAGGAATGAGATGCCGACACTCACTTGACAAATACTCACAAAGCAGAAAAAACAAAAACAAAAAAACAGAAAAGACACAGTGGAAAGATGCAAGTTCTCTGAGATGGTCCATTGCTACCAGTAGTTTGCCTAAAAAAGTCCTAGAACATCAAGCAGAATGCATCATGTTGATAAAATTGTGTGACAGTATGCATATTGGTCACAAATGTGCAATCTTCCCCATCTTTAGTTACACCTCACTCAATTTTGTAGACTTTGGGAAATAGTATCAAAGGATTAGACAAAAGCAATAGGTTGCAGATGAGTTCTTACAATCAGCATTTTATTATTTCTTAAGTCTCTTGATCTGATTCACTTTGATCACTTTTCTGATTCTCTGCATCTCAAAGTGCTACTGATTTTGAAAGTGCCGTAGTCCATTTCTAGGATATGTATTTTTATAGTATGTTCTGCAGAGTTCTTGCGCTTCAGCAGGGATACGTTAACTCTATACAACTATTATAACATATAATTATATTATATAACATATAACATATAACAAGCTATTCTGAGGAAAAACTCAAATTCAGCTTCACCCAGCAAAACCAAGTCTTTACCATAACACTCAATATGCCTCCTAATCAACTACATCTGATATGTAATCTAGTAGAAAATACCAGTGCTGCTAAAAATACTTCAAAAGACAAGCTTTCAGCTTTTCAAATGTACAAACTTAGGCTTTCCGTATTTTTCCATGTATAAATTCTGCACTGGAGGAAAGCAGGCTCAAGTTCTACCAAACTTCTTATTTGTATCTAATTTCTATGTGCCACTAAGGACAGCATATGGGAATATCTCCACATTTACAATTTCCATCAGAAAAGACAGATGCTTTGCTGAATCCGTCATATAATGGATTCAATTCATATTTATGTAGTAATTTTGAAAGTCAAGAAAAGGAATCCAAATACAAATCACTCAATCTGCAACCAAGCTGCACAAGAGAAAACTGTTGGGTATCGTTATGGCAATAATTAAGTAGCTCATTTGCTATGCACACACAACTGCTGCATGAAACAATACTTCAAGAGAAAAATGTGGGCCAGTTTACTTACAGGTTGAAAGAATCATATCTGGTTCTCTTCTTATATTCACATGAAAATGCAAACCTTCCTTCATCAGCTGTGCCTGTAAATACCCCAGCAGTGCTCTTAGCTCTTCTGTGAAGCAAGGTAAAACACCAATACAGCCTGTCCCCGCCTACTTTCCTTAAAAACAACCTACTAGATATTAATCTCATGCCCGTTAAGTGGCTTTTTTTTTTTTGGTTTTTTTTTTTTTTTTTTTTTTTTTAAAAGGAGAAATCATGAAAAAAAGTCTGCTTTCTAAAATCCAACATACACTTTACAGAAAAATATATATATATATTGAACTATAATCAGTAAGGCTAACTACTACTGAAAATGGTAAAAACATCCAGCAGCTGTATGCCTCAGAATTTGGTCCCATTCTCATAAATTTTTGATCCTGACATTTAGGGGAAAAAAAAAAAAAATTAATAAAAAGGAGGAGAAAACATGAAGCTGATTAAGTAGTCACTGAGCTCACTCAGAAGAAACGATGACATGGTATTTTAACCTGCCTTTGATCACATGAGAAGGTTGCCAAGAGAGCTGCCTCAAAGACTGTTCTGATTCATCCCAAAAGTAATCATCTGAGGGTATATTCAACTGAAAAATGCATTCATCTAAAAATGAAGTGGCCTCGCAGTTCCTGATAGGTCACATAAGAGTCAAACCCAATGAGGGATATGTAAAAATTATACTTGTGCAGCATAAAGAGGCAGGTGAAGTACAGCATTTCAAGAGTCATCTTAAGTGCACATCTTCACTGAGGAAATCTGCCAAATACCAGTACAGTTAGGGTAATCTTTATCATACAGATCAACACATATTTGTTGTAGAATAAAGAAACATCCATAAAGTTTACTAGAAATTATTACTCTCCTGATAATTCAATGCTTCATGTATGTTTTAAGTGAAATACTACTTATTCCTGTAAAACTATTTACAGTGTCAAAGGTGTTGGCAATGCCATATCTTGCAATGTGTCCACCAAGAAACTGGAATTCAAAGGAGCAGCTAGAAGAAGGATGAGCCTGGCTTACATTAGGTCATCCACGTTACTTTTCCTGTTCCAGATAGAAAATGCAAGAATTTTCCCTTTAACAATATTTGCTGTTGATATTAAATTGGTAGTGGTTTCGACTCAACACTTCAGCAAACTCATTCTCATAGCTGTGAGACTTGATCATTTAAAAAAAATAATAATAATAATAATTTAAATCCTGACACCCTGTAAGTTTCTGATGCAATATCACAAGGAAAAGAAAGCATTTCTTCATACTTCCTCCTCATTCAAAATACAAAGGCTTAGACAAAGCAGTGAGAGGAAACTAAGCCCCTCCAAGACAGAAATGATGAAATGCAGAAATGATGGAATGTGTCAAGGTAACTATACTTACCTTTAATAACTTGATTCAAAATAACTTTGCTATGTTCTTTTCTGCATGGAAACTAGTTTTTTGAGAAGCAAACTGGCAATCTATTCTGCATTACACACAGCACAAAGTTATAGGTAGTGGTAGAAGAAAAAAAAGAAAGCATACATGTAATGGAATTAATCAAAAGGTTGGTACAGAAAATTTGAAGTGCAAGTACTCTTCAGATGCTTTGGTCCAAAGTTAGGTGAATTGAAACAAACTTCAGCAAGGCTGAGGAGATGTCAGCCTCCAGCACAGGGGAAAGAGTATGCAGGTATTAAGGAGTTCAACCATTTCTGCACTAAACACAGACAAATCCAATTAAATATATATTCATATTAAAAATATATGCATTTAATAGAAAGCATGTGTACACACAGGCATGTATATACATGGACAATCACAATGCCATATTTACACGAACAATGAGTTTGGCTTACGATGTCTTGACAGTAAATCAGTGGCAACTCTGTACATGTTGTTCCAAATAATAGTTAACACTCAATTTATTTATATACACATGTAGTACAGTGTTGTCTGTTAAGAATAGAAAGATTAAATCAATGTACATACACATGACAGACAGAAAAATGAAGTCCTCCTTAACTACATTTGAGTGCATTGTCTCTCATTTACAACCCCATGCATTGAGAGTTGTATGTAAGTCAAGGTAGGACAAGCTTGCATTTGAAAATGTCAAGGGGAAAACAGTTTATATAAATAAATGCATGAAATTTATATATTTACAATACCTACAGCATATAAATTATTTTACAATTAATCTAAAACAAGGTACTACGGTATGTTGACAGCCAGCTGAATCTTGGACTGATTGATCACGAGTAATGTCTGTGGAAGGTCTCTGGTTCACCAAACAGCCTAGAATAGCTCTGGGCACATCATGGCTCAGTCCTGAAGCAACACTTTTGAGTGTTACAACAAACTGAAGACTGTGCTGTTAACAACTTACTGTGTGCAAATAAAAGGGGCAAATTTGCGTTCCTGGTATGGCATGAAACATCCATGAATAGTGTTTCTGGAGAATCCCTAGAAACATTTGTATGTCAGTAAATAGATACCTTCATTTTTTTAAAGCATGCACGTGACTACTACTGCTACCTGTGTAAAGAGAAATTCAGAAACATGGACCATACGTATATGAACCCAAATCAATAAATGCAAATTAAGCTCCCAGACTTGGGTCATTTTTACTTTCTTCCTCCACAAAGAGCACTACTTTCTGGCTACGCAATGCTGAATTTTCAGAGAAAATACAAAGACTGTTATTACTGCTGAAGATACCATGCTTGTTTTCCAAAATCATGTGAAACTGTCGTTGTATTGATCTAAACACTACGGGCTCCCCACACTGTTTAGCAGCATCTAGCAGCATCCAGGACCAAACCTTTGAAAACAAAATATCTCTGGAAAGTGGTTTCTTTTCTGTGCTTGTACTGATATTGCCTTTTCTCAGAAAGCATCTTCACCCTCCGCAATGTCAATGATTATATGGAGCAAGTCTTCAAAAGTTGGGCGTCCCTCCGGTTTCTAAAAACAAAAGTATGTACAGCTATGATGAGAAAATAACAAAGCTTTATTGGTTTGGATAAATCTTGGTCTTAGCATCATTCTGCAGCAATGACTTTACCACTTTATTAAATGTGATGTGGAAAAAAAAATATTTTCTCGTGTAGATTTTGGATGCATTGCAGTTTCATAAAGTGTCACTTTTATTTCCATGCTGTGAAAAACTATAATATGTACTGCTGGACTACACCTTTCCTGCAATTCATTATTTTGCATAGTGCCACACTTATTCATTTCTCTCTCCATACCCATCCCCACCCCAGCCCCAATATATTATTCCAGTCTTCCTTTATGCAACTTGTTCATGCTCCTAAGTGTTCTGAGCATTATTCTCCAAAATCTTTTACTTCCATATGATTTTTCATATAATGCAATGAGACTGCACTGTAGACTTATGCAACATTATTCTTCATTTATTCTTTTGTCCATATAATTCCCTACGTGTTGTAATATCCTCTTTGTTTTGTTTAACCAAAACAGTACACTGAGACTTTCCCTTTACTTTCACTGAGATTCCCTTTACTGACCTTAATGACAGAGTTAATGTAACATCTTTTGAATGTGAGTGTAAATTGCACCTTATCTCTACTTACCAACCTAAACAAATTTGTATTACCTGCTGGATTTTGAAGCCTTGCACACTTCTCAAATAATTAATAAATTGATCAAGCAAGGACTGAGATATCTAGAGTTAATCATATTTTATGACAAAGACTGACTGCATGTTGCCATTATCTGTGCCCCATTTGTGATTTGCAAAGATTCCTTCTTTCACACAATGTTTGCTTAGGTTTTACTGTTAATAACCTCTCATGAAATCAATGCATTTTTAATCAATTAATTGATGTTCATATGAATTCTAAAAATACATCTATACTGAAGGAGTGTTAACAAATAATTTAGTTATCTCATAGGTGATTTATTAGTCCATTTTAATGGAGATTTCAAGCAGGTTATCAAATACAAACAAAACTTAATGATCTATAATTTCCTGGCTCCTGTGAAAAGCCTTTTGGGACCATAGACATGTTTGTTATTTTGCAGCCCTCCAGGACACTGTAGTTTTTAATCTGCTTTTCATTTCATAAACCAACTGCTTTGTAAGCTTTAGATATTCACCAGTCAGTTTGGTGACTAACTACTTGTTCCAGCACCTTCTCAATCAAGACAAATGTCAGACAGCATGTCATCTTTCTTACAGGAAAACAGCAGACTCTCCTCAACAGCCAATGCAGAAAAGACAAACTAGAAAATCAATCATTTAGCTCTTTTCATCACTAGTTCCTCTGATTGCTCTCTGAAAACTGGAGGCAACTAATCTTTTCATATGGCTTCTGTTTTAATATCATGTTTCCATGATAATTAGTAAAGTGAGGCAGTATCAAAACAAGTCCTCAATTCTGGACTATTTGACTAATACAGTTTTGCAAGCAGTGCTTGTATGCAGAAATAATCATGATCAGTTAAGACTTAGTGATTATTTCATTTTATTACTAAACTTATAGTTCATTTATTTCACAGAAATTTCTCCAGTGGCTGTTATCATTACAGCTGTACACTTGAAAATCTGAGAGAGACATATAGCTCCAAGACTGTCAACTATTAGATCACAGGAAAACAGGCTTGTACTTTCTTATTTTCTCACCCACATTCTGTGTGCAAAGCATGCGTTCAATTAATCTCAATTGTATCAGAACTATATTTGACTGTTCTGCCCCACTTTCCCCCTCCCTCCCTTCTTCTCACCTAAGGTATATATTTGTCATTGAATTAAAACCATTCTCACATTGATCCCTATACAGAACAATTCCCTCTACTTGACTCAGCTGACTCTCTTGTTGCAGCAAATTTACAAGTTGTCTACAAACATTCAGCTGTGGTCTACATCTCACCTACTGCACGCTATTTTTTCTATGCACTATCTACAGTAGATAAAGGAGAACCTTCTTATCCTGGAATTCCTTATTATGCCTCTCTCACACCACCTGTACAGAAAAGACACCCTGTTCCTTTCTGTCCTAGCAGCCAACAGCCATTATCCTTGTATGGGCACCGTTCATTTAGAAATAAGTCTTCTGGGATCTCAGGCCTTGATGCCCTGGTTATAGGAAGAATGCAATTGATTGTTGTTGCTGGATTAACTTTTTTTTCAACTCAAAGACAAAAATAAAAACGTGCCTACCTCCTGCCAGCACATCATCATGACTTCATATACCTGCTTGGAGGCCAGTTTGGGGCGGTACAAGCGATGTCCTTGGCTAACCATAGTTACCACATCATAGTTGGAACTTTTTTCGAAGGGCATTTTTCCTTCTGTAAACACTTCCCACATTAAAACACCTAAAAAATTTAAATAAACATTAAGAAAATAAGCAAATAATTTCTTAAAATAAATGTTCATTTTGAGCTCTGGACTCAGGCTTACTAAAAGAAAAATAGTTTGAGAACCATATTACAGAACAAGCACTTACATGTCATCACCGAATAAACTTTATTCTAGTAGCATGTGTTTTAATACATAACAGCTCTAATGACCTCTGTGGAGCTGAATGCAAGCATAAAACCCCAGCAAATGATTTCTGTGACCTCCTTCTTAGATGTGTGATACTACCTGATAACTAGAATTTAACCACAATTGACAAAATGTAAAAATAGTGCTTTGTTTCAGTGATAAACACCTTACCGAATGACCAGACATCTGACTTGCTGCTGAATCGACTGTAATTAAAAACTTCTGGTGGGCACCACTTCACAGGAAATTTAGCCCCTGAGGAACTTGTGTATTGATCATCAAGGACATACCTAAAAAGAAAACATCATGCCTTTCAGCTGGCCTCCAAGCCTACAAATCGTTATTTAGATTGGGAACTGAGTATTTGCAGCTCGTATTGCCACCTAAAGGCCATGACTTAGTATCACATGAGAAAATGAGCTACATCAGACTCGCACTGGGGTCTCAGTCAAGACACTGTTTCTTTTTCTATTACCTTGGAGTCTTCTCAAGCCTAAGCCACTTGCAAGACAAATGCCCATATTACAAGAAAAACAATGCAAAATATTTCATTTCTTGCTCTGTTTCTCACTGGTCAGTCTAAACTTAGACACAGGGACATGCAAGAGCAGTAGCACAGAAAAGTGGCAAAAGTCAAGCAGGTCATGGTTCAACAACTATTGTGTTGCTTTTCTGAGGTTTTTGTTTTGTTTTTAAACAGAAAAATGCTAATAAAAGACCAGTCAGACCACGGAGTCTGTTTAGAGCCAATCCCTGAGATTCTGTGATTCTCAATGCAGAGACACTTAATTCTCTAAAGAATAAACTACACAGTTTTATTTTTCCATAATTTAGAAGGAACAAGTCACATCACTACAGAGCAAATAATCTTTAAAGGCACTGGAAAAATAAATATAAGAATGTTCCTTAGAGAGGTCAAAAAAGATCATTATTACCTGTAACCTTGTTTTTTGTGTATTCTCTTACAGAAAAGAAAAAGGGCTAGGTAAATTTTCCAATATCACTACAATTATGTTTGCACACTCAGCCATACCTTGTCATCCCAAAATCAGATACTTTAACCACTCCCATATCATTCACCAAGCAGTTCCTGGCAGCCTGCAAAGAGAATCATTAGATTTACATTAAAACTTTCAGTCTCTCGGACAAATTGCAACAGACTGATGAGTCTGTTAGCAAGTTCACTGATTCACCAAGCACATTGGTATATGACACTATGGCCCAGAAGAAAAGCTGCCTGTGCATTTGGCTCCTGAAAGCGTTGTTTTGACAACGAAAACATTTTGTAAAAAGCCACCAGGAAAAATTATGATCTCAAGGCATTTTGGAGTGGTAAAAATAGAACAAGTATACACAGTTATTTCAGCACAACTAGCTATCAACTTTCTATAAACATTTGAGAGACTTTATTCTATTTTCTCAAGAGAGAGACACATCATCTTTTTCTGTATACTGCAGCTTCACATATTTGCTTAGAACCTAAAGAGTCAACTTAAATTACTTGCAGTCTTCTGTGAGAATAAAAGCTGATATTTACAAACATGCTGCTTCAAAACTGGATAGATAAGGTCAAAAACAGAAATTTTACGAAGTGTATTGCATGATAGGATGTTACCAGGTCTCTGTGGATAAAGCTGTTCCTCTCCAGGTATTCCATTCCCTCACAGACATCTTGGCACATCGTGAGCAGGACATCTTTACTCAAAACCCCACGTTTTTGTCTTAGGTAATTCAGAAGGCAGCCATGCTCCATGAACTCGGTTACAATGTAGATGGGTCTCTGTTGTGTGCACACACCATACAGCTGAACTAACTTAGGATGTGTTAGTTTCCTGAAAAGATTGGCATCATGTAGTTATTGCTTTCCACCTCTCAGTACTGCCAAAATACACCTGCCTAAAGCAATTTTTCCAGTATATGCTATCAGAGACCAAAAATAAAGGTCCCAAGCACTGTGTAGCAACTCACATCATGACTTTGGCTTCCTCAATAAAATCCTCCTCATACATCGCGCCCTCCCGAATCGCTTTGATGGCCACTTTGTACTGCGCTCTCCATTTCCCAAGGCGCACTACTCCAAACAGGCCGCTCCCCAGCTCCCTCATGAAAGTCAGCTCTGATGGATTAATTTCCCATTTTTCTGTAAATCAAAACAAGCAAGAATCACTGACTGTTATTTTAGGATATGTGCTGAACTGGTAGAGAAGAGGGAGGGAAACTCTTCCTAGAAAATTAGGGAGAAAACTTTTCAGAATTAACACAAAAATGTAGTACGCCCGTATCACCAAGAAAATACATATTTTTTCATCTAGACACAGCTTTTAGCCAGCTGTTGACAAACACAGAAGGTGAAAATCGAAATTTCCCAAAGTCAACAAATAAATATGGATATTATTAGACTTAATTCAACACGCTCCCATCATACGAAGCTCTGCCAACGCATAGAAGCTGATCACGTCACTTGGTCTGCTGCGGTTAAAAATAGATCACTAAAAACATGAAAAAACAAATTAACAAATCCACCTCTGTAAAGATCAAAGGAACAAGTTTGAGTATGAAGTCTGAAGGCTTATTAAGCAGGCAAAGGCACAGCTCTTTAATAAGGCAGAACCCAAGGTGTCCACAAAAACATGGAGAAAGATACTGAACAGGCTCTGTTTCTCTACACAGTGCCCCTTGGCACTGTGCTACTGACACTTGACACATGCTACTGGCTCTGGAGCCTTTCCATGACAATTCTCTGTGCAGTGGTGTAAGGTACAATTTAAACCCACTAGTTAGTTAGAATAGGCAATGATAGTACAAAACTTCCAAAATTTTTAGAAACTATCATGGCTGCTTACACATATAAAATCATCAGAAAAGGTATGTAAGATAAATACAACACAATTACCATAGCTGAATCCTGCAGTTGTTGGTGCTGTTGTCTTCTTTGGGGTCACAGGGTAACGCAGCCTGGTAACAAGACCTGATGATCAAAGGTAATTCAAGAGAGACTTTATTTCTGAAATAGTGCCAGATAGCAAATAAGCCATTTGTTCACCGCAGACTACAACACTGACTCATAAGCTCATACACAGTTTTGACCACGTTCTCTGCTAACTCATTGCTTTGACTATTCAAAGTGGCTACAAGAGCACACAAGAGCACTCACTGAATCTAACTTGCTGCATCCGCATTACTGTTAAGAGAGAGCCATAAATATTTGTGCTTTACAATTATGCCAGCACCAGCAAAGACTGAGCAGAGACCATCTCTTTCCTAAACCAGATCAGAAAGACTGCCCAAAATGCATATTCACAATGTTACTTTTGATCATTTCTATTTTGCACGTACAAACCCCTCCGGTTTCACACTTATTTCCTGAAAAAATACTGTTATCCACATGTGTTTTCTACTTCCTTTTTATCATTTTAAGTTGTCGAGACCCACTAGTAAACCAGCACCTAGAGAGTACTTTAAAGAAGTACTATCCCTACCTCTCTGTTCTGGGCTAAAGACCAGCATTAGAAACAATACAAAATGAATGCTTTTATTTTTCTAATCCAACAAAGCTGTTCTTCTGTCATGCTGTGGATCAGTGTGCACTGAATAGCACTAGAACTGTTAAAAATTAATTTTGCCACACTTTTGTTTTGCTCTGTGTTTGGACATCAGCTGGGAAAAAGGATATTGCTCACTGTACAACAAGCAAATAGGAATGGCAAAAGAGCAACGTATACAGTGTTAAATAAAGTACTGATGGAAAGAAAACACCACTTGTCCTCATAAAACCAGGAGCTCAGCCCTGGTCTGTAGCCACTACACTCTGCTGATAATAGGAATAGCAAGCTGGTGTGGGTATAAATACAAATTATATAAAGCTATATACACATTATACACACACACACACACACACACACACACACACACACACACATATATATATGCACACAATCTTTCAAATGATTACATATATTGAAAAAATGTGAAATGCAGTTTAGTGCAGTCTTCTATATTTAGGATCTACAAAATTCTAAAAGCCTTCATTGAAAATCTCAGATTCCTTATCAAAACAGCCCATAACGACAGGAAAATTTCAGTCCATCTACCTGCTGCATTATGTTTGTGATACTCAATTATTTCTGGAATGGAGTTAAAGAGATGTTTTTCTGCAAGGTAGTATTGCTTTGGTGATGTCACTGTTTCTTTTATATGGTAGTGTCTTATTCCTGATGAACCTTCTCTGAAAAAAGGAAGTAAAACAATGTCATTTGTTGAAGATTAACCACATGAATTAATTCTCAGTTTGGCTTGCTCCTCAACGCAGCTCCCCTCGTGAGCACATAGGCTGGCACAAAGGAAAAGACTCAAAAGCATGTCAGAGCCTCCTTCTTTTAGTGGCAGTCAGATCTACACTAGATTAAAACCAAGGAGGCCTAAGCATATAGTCAAGAAGCTGATATTATGTCAACCCACGTTTTCTAACTGGCAGCCCTCCCCTCTTTGCTGAGCTTTCTCCCGACCTTGCCTCCAGGCCAAGAGTTTCAGTGTACATGCACACAAATTCAGGCAAGGTAATGTATGCAGGGTGGACACAGAAACTTACCCTCCAAATTTTGTATAAAGGGAAACCGTATACAGGCCAGGCTGACTTGAATCTCTCACCACAAAACCACCTTCTTTGTCCTAAATTGCAAACAAATTGACAGTTTCATACCACAAATAACTTTAAGCTGCATGTCCTTCGTAATTGTTCTGTAATTTGCACATGCCAAAATGAAATGTTAGCTTAAATAGGTTTAAGTAAATGCTGTGTTTTGTACACAAGGCTGCCATACCTCATTTCTAAGGAGCTGCTCTGCCTTGCTGCGGTTCAGGTTCCTGCTGTACCACCTGCAACACAACATCAGCACCTAACCAAAAGTTCTCCGCGACACTTGATTTATGTAAAAGGCTTAAAATCAAGTATTGCAAAGTTACCATTTCGATAATTTTTTTATACCAACGGCCAAGAACTGTACCTGAGTAAATGTAAAAAAAAAAAACCAAAAACAAAAAAAACAACAACAGTGCTTATTACATTGTAGAGTTTACCCATAAAAATGCCTTGATCTCACACAAACCAATAAAGTGCAGGAAATTTGACTAATTTTTGAGCAAAACATTTCCTAAAGCGGGCCAACAGCCTCGCGGTGGCCCTGAAGCAGCTATCTACACACAGCCCGATCATCTGCCAAGCTGACTGCCAGCTGTTATTCAGTACCTTCAGGAACAACAGACTTGGAGATCAGTCTCCAATTTTATCCTGGTGCTCCTAAATAACTACTTCATAATTAAATTGGAAAAATAAAAATATTTAAAAAAACTCTCTATACTTTCACAGCTGATAAATTGCATGAATACACTGAGACTTCAAATGCCCCAAGTGAAATACTTTGTTGAAAATGAGAGTTTCCATTCAAAATATCTGATGTTATGTTTACTTTGTACAATTTCTGCTGTTTTCTCCTCTATCTTCCTGCCACATCCTGGACAGGGATAACATTTTAATATTAAAACACATTCAGACATTCAGTACATTTAAAATGAAAAAATTTCCTTTAATATTTCCTTCTGACAACCAGGAAATTCTGAGAGTTTTGTGGTTTGGTTTATTTTTGGTGAGGTGTTTTTTTTTTGTTTTTTTGTTTTGTTTTTTTTTTTTACTTTTTATAGTAATCTTCTAGAAACTACTTGCCTGATGACCATCTCTGTCTTGAGTCTATTTTATACATCACATCAAAAAATCAGCAAGGAGAATCAGAACATATATATGCATATTTAAAATAATTAGGTGTTACGGTAAATAGCACTATTTTCAATGCTTATAAAAATATTTCAAAACATTAAAAAAAAATGCATTGTAATTCTTAAAGCATAGCTTTTATTTTATGATATTCCACATTTTAATTAGAACATTCACTTACTCATATTGATCAAGGTTGCTGGACTTCTTTCCTGTTACGTAGTTGCTTGGAATATATCCTTCATGCCTAAAAGAACATATAATACATACTCTGAGCAAAAAGATGCAAAGTTACATGCCCAGAAGACAGTATTAATTGTGCTATTACCAGAGGTCACTAGCAGTCATTCTTCTTTTTTTTTACTGAGCTATCCAATGTGCTACTCATTACTGAGTAATGAATTTCCACATCAACATTTCCACATCACCCTTTGCTGCACCTAAAGAGTTACACAGTCAGCAGAAATGTGCAACAAAGCCAAGAGGAGAGGAAAAGAAACAAGTGACCCTCTGGTTCTGTGGTCAGAGGTTGCAGTTGGTCACTGGAGACTGCCACAGCAGCCCTGCTGTATCTATTAACTCACAATTACCCTTCACTGCTCACAACATTGACTTGATCAATATTGCAGTTTGGTTAGTTTCACTTTTAAAATTAGGTGAAAAGATTTAAACACAGGAGAACTGAAGTCGAGACATTGTGGTCATTAAGGCATCTCTCTGCAGCTCTCAGCTCTCTCAAAGATCACCCTTAATGATCCACTTTTAAATAAGGTAATGATCATTCAAGCTTGGAACTCAGAGCATGTTGATCTGAACATTGATCACAATTCTCCCAAATGACCTATTGCCTAAAACCAGGAATACTAGACCAGTCAAATCAGATTTTGCAGCCTGCTGACACTATGACTCAGAAACCATAGAGTCTGACAGGAGATATCACTGTAAAAGCTTACAGTTCTGCATCAGATAACTGCAGGACAAGTGGAAATGGTTTTAAGTAGAGGGAGAAGAGATTTAGGTTGGATGTCGGGGGAAGTTTACAGAGACAGTGGTGAGGTGCTGGAACAGGCTGCCCAGAGAGCTGGTGGATACCCTATCCCTAGAGGTGTTCAAGGCCAGACTGGATGGGGCCCTGGGCAGCCTGGTCTAGCATTAAAAGGGGAGGTTGGTGGCCCTGCATGTGGCAGGGGGGTTGGAGATTCATGGTCCTTGAGGTCCTTTCCAACCCTGGCCATTCTGTGATTCTGTGATCAGTCTCCACAGTCTATTGAGAATTACTTTTTTTAAATTGGATTCTATGTGGGAATAAAAAATTGGTGCAAATTTCAGCAATTTGTTAACACACAATCAATATAAACTATTAGAACATGAAAACAGCCTAAATAACATCATAAGGAAAAATAAGAAACTCATGTTTACCCATGTTTGTCTCTTGCCTTCCACCAGTGAATGTCATTCTTCTCGATTACTGTGTATTCTTCACCTTTATCTAACCTTAAATCATGACGTTCTGTGGGCTGGAAGTCATACATCGCAACCACTATCTCCTCCTCTTCATTGTCATTTTCCTCAGCTGGAGGAACAGGTGGTGGTGGCCTTCGCTGAAAACGACACAAAATTATCATCATTCCCCTCCGTTCTTTGATTTCCCTCCACCCCACCTCTGCTATTACAGCTGTGTAAATGAGCTGAGCAGCCCAGAGGCAAAGGCTGAGCTGGTTCGGACTGTCCCATGAGGCAGCTGTGGGGTCAGGTTAGGCATGCATGAGACATTCATAGCATCGCAGCCCCCATGGTGCTTATTTTTGGACCCTCTCTACCAGCAGCACAGATACCTACCATACTTTTTTCTGGCATTGGCAAGGGCAGCGTTACTACACCTAGAAACAGAGCACAGAAAAGCATTAAGTGTCCTATGAAAAAAAGACTAGCTCAGAGAGTAAGCAGTGTTCACGGCAAGCCCTATCAATGGCTACTTTTTGTATAGAAATGTGTAAAGTCGTATAGAAAGGTAGTTTTTAATTATTTCTCTGGCCCAAAAGTATTTTTGTCTCCTGTGCTTCTTTTTTCCATTCAAAAAGTCTTGTAGAATAAAGGCAACCAGGAGCAATCTTTTATTTCTCTTTGAATGGAATGGAATCCACAGTTCCTAACCATTGCCACTCAAGGCTCTGATCAAGGGAACCAACCAGGCACTCCTGATTTCACCAGGTAGTGACCATTGGTGCCATTTCTTCTCTTACTAAGGAGGATTCCTTGAATCAAGTTCAAGAACAAAGTATTACTGTATTGTTACGCAGAACTGAGGGTCATGTTTCCACATCTTCATATGCCACAGCACACACTGTGGAATAAGCAAAGGCTGTGATTTGCATGCTAGAAGAGTCACTTCCAAATATGTATTTGGAAGTGATGTTTCATCAGGTTCAGCATTTGAATATTTGCAAACTACTAGGAAATCTAAGCTACGTGTCTGCAAATTCATTAAGTCTGGTTACCCTCTTGCATCATTTTCACGTTGGTGTAATTTCTCTCAATAATTCCTTGCAGATGTCTCCAAATGTTTTTTGGAAGGACAACTTTTTTTTTTTTCTTTTTTAAACACAAGTGCTTGGAGATGAAAAATATTTTGATTTAATCTAGGCACAGTGTCACTGACTCATCCTGCTCTATAAATTTCCCCATTACCTACAGCATTCAAGTGTGCTGACACGATCATATGCCAAAACCATTTCATGTAAGGACACATGTACTTACTATTTTCAAAAAGATTGTATTTTTCACAGCCAGGTGCTAATTTTTCTGTCTGTCTGCAGCACTGATAAATTCCTTCTGTCCAGAATTTAGGATGATATTTTATCATTATATTGCTGTTGTTCTTTATTCCTACCGGAAATAAAAAGCAAAGGTCAAACAAACAAACCAAAAAATAATAATAAAAAAGCATGACTGCCCCTAACTTTTAAAGTACTTTCAACATTAAGCATAATGTTCGTTGCCTGTCCTTATTGTAGCATTGCTTTTCTTGAGGAACTTTTCACAAGTCTACATGGAGGACATACACTGATGGCAGGTGCAATTTGTGTACTACAGAAGAGAGTGCTATACTCCCTGCCTACACCAGCTACTCCAGCAGGTTGCCCTCCAAAGGGCAGAGGGCCAGGGCTCACCACAACAGGCTGAGGCACCCACCTGCCCCCCTAATGCAGACAGGTAGCTGTGAAGGCGCTGCAGCTCTGGCTGCCTCTTTTCCTTTTGTTACTGCCACCAATGACTCAGAATTTCCTCTACAGTTAGCAATCTGGAGAGAGTTAGCTGACGTGCACCACTATTCCATGGCACAATGCCTGTAGTTGGTTCAGCAAGCTCCTCACCCTTATCCTCAAAGCTTGCTGAGTTTCAGAAATCACTCTATGATTGATGGCAGCAGAAAGCAATCAAGAGGCTCTTGAGAAAATGATCTTTATTCACTACAGCAGCAATAATCAGAATCATACCTCAGTGGAGATGCCCCCTCAGTGTTAGACCATCAATAGGTCCCTCATTCTGGCTAGCTACATTCAAATAAAACCTTTGAGTAATGTCATTAACTAGCTTGGATGAATTTTTTGGATGCTTTACATGTTATAGAAAAGCATAGATTCAAATTCTGATTGCAGTGAGACTACACTACACAAAATAAATGAAATTAGTCTGGGTGTTTGGAGACACTGGCATTGGCTGCCCAGTGAAGCTGGGAATGCCTTATCCCTGGAAGCACTCAAGGTCAGGCTGGATGAGGTCCTGGGCAGCCTGATTTGGTAGGTGGCAGCCCTGCCCATTGCAGAGAGTTGGAGCTGGATGATTTTAAGGTCCCTCTCCAACATAAGCCACTCTACGATTCTGTGTGCCCAATACCCATCATCAAATACTGCATATACAAATGACAATCTGGCCCAATTCAAAAGAAATTAAAAAAAAAAAAGTTTCACTATTTTATTTTTCTATCCTGTGGTGAGTTGTTCCCACCCAGCAGCAAAGCACCCACAACACTGTGACAGGGGAAAATAATAGAAAGAGGAAAAGTGAGAAGTTGTGGGCTGATAGCAAGAGCTTAGTAAGAGAAGTATGTACTGAGTTAACGCCATCCTAGTCAGACCCAGCACACAGCTTTAGCAAAATTATCTAAATATACCAGATATGAAGTGCAAGCAGTTTTCATTACCTTCTTTCAGATTCCTCACCCACTGATCCCGGCTTTGTGCACTTGGTGCAAAAATATAAAGTGTATTAGCATCATATACAACCTGCGGGGGGAAAAAAAAAAAACAAAACACCAATGAGACAAAACACACAAAAAAACAAAACACCAATAAATACACTCATATAGTACACTTATTTCCATTTGGATCACAATGAAAGAAAATACAATAAGGTTTATCTTGATTTTCTTATGCCTATATAAATTAATGGTAATCACACACTTGATATAAGCAGTATGCATGCAAAAGAAGGCAAAGGCTCCAGCTCTTTCCAATCAAAACCTAGGCAGAGTGTGATAGGGAAAGAAAAAGACCAACTGTCAGAGGCAGAACTCCGAAGAGCAAGGAGTTCAGAGGGAGAAGAGCTTTCGGGGGATGGCTTCCAAACCCTGACCCTGAACTGTCTCCTACAGTCCCACAGAATGGTTTCAGTGACAGAAGCAACAGTAATTTCAAGCAAGTCGCATTCAAGCAGCTTGCTGATGTTGAAAAAAGCGCTGTATTTCATATAAACCAAAGGAGCATACCTGAAACGGATATTTATTTTGACAGGGAATAATACCATCATTTTGTACAACTTCCACACATTTGATCCTTGAAATATCCACAGATCCTTTTCTGTACTTTTTCTGTAAGAGAAGAGTAAAAAAAGATATTATATTAAATACAGCTGAAGACTGATTCATTTACAGGCACTCATTTAACTTCCTTTTCCTGCCCTCCCCTCCCTCGCAAAGTCTTATCGCTTTCTTTCCCATTTACAATAGAAATACAGCCTTAACTGCAGAAGTAACTCAAAAACAGGAGAAAGAGAGCACAAAAATCTACACTGAAGTTCTACTGCTTAGTAGAAGGCACTACATTTTCCAAGATAAAGTTCCCTATCTTTAATAATAATAGGCTGGCCTACTCTTCTTTACGAAGAAACTTACAAAGGACAGCTTGCTGATCTCAAGCTATGACTAAAAGGGGTGAGTGAAAAAGGTTCCAACGCCACCTAATCTGCTCGCTTGCTCTGACACCAATGTGCTCCCACTGTTTTGTGGCTACTCCTGTGTCCCTCCAGCTTTCCAGAGAAACTGCAATGCACAGGCAAAACAAGTTCAGACAGAGTAGAAAGGAGAAGATAGGCTGAAACTGTCCTTGGGGTAAGTTGAGGTCTGTGCTGAAAGAACTTTCTTTGACCAAGGCTGGCAGAAGTCTTGAAGAAGCAAGGTCAACTTGATCTAGCTGTAGGTGTCCCCGCAAGGGAGTTGGATCAGTTGACTTTTAAAGGTCCCTTCTACCTCAAATGATTCTATGACTCTACAATTCTCTGGGAAACAACAGCTGGGGGTAGCTTGTACTGTGCTTCAGTCTAGTAAAAGCAGTAAGTAACAACAGTGAAATCCACCCACATGCAGACGTTTTTAAACTGACTTTTTCTGAAATAATTTATTTATATGTAGAAGAGATTGAGCGTGCCAGCACAACACAGGTTGGACTCGATCTGTAAGGTCTTTTCCAACCTGAGTGATTATATGAATTATACTTTTATTTTTTTTAATCAAGATGATGAAATCTACAGACAACATAAGGGCCACCTCTCGCTTTTGGGAGAGGAAGTTTCCACTGGAACAAAAATAAGAATAAAATATTAATAAAAAAAAAAGCCAGCAACTCATGGCTGGTCCCACGTAAACGCACATTAAACTTTTGCACTGTAAAGTACATCCAACAAGTGCAGTCCAACATGCAGCTTATGAAGGATGAATACTGTTCAGGCAATGTGGAAATAATTAGTAATTAGTGAATTATTGGAGATGCTCTAATCCCCACTCAGCTCCCCTCCTATCTCCTGAGGATGAGAATTTCAGCCCAAATAGCAGAATTCTGGCACAATAACATGCAACTGAAAACAAAAAGGGGAGAGCCGCTTCCTGTGCAGTCATGGTGATTCTGCCACCCTCATAATACAACACCCTCGTAGCACCATCCAGAAAAAACAGAGGAGCCTCCTCAGCATTTAAAACATATTTAGTATTCCAATTCATAAGTTTGTTATGAAGAAAACAGAGAAACACTCATGAAAAATTCAGGCTCGTGATGGTCAGCATCAGGAAGAATGGCAGGAACTGAATTCAGATAAAGCTGTAACCATCATGCAATACCAGAGATAAAAAAAAAAAAAAGAAAAGAAAACGGAGCTTTTTTCAAACTGCAACAATAATTAGGCATTAGACATTCTACTGAGACATTAAAAGAATTCAAATCATCATTGCTGATAGCATGCAACGCTATCATGTATTTTGTGGATCCCATCTAGCAGTTAACTGTGGTGGTGAGACAGAAAGAGATTATATGTTATCTTTTTTTTTCTCCTGTCTGGAGTCACAAACTTTCATTAGAGGAACAGGCTGTATTACTTTAAGCCTCTCCTCCTCCACAGCTCCCAGGTTTTCAGGACAGTTCTGGCATCCAATGAGTGCTCAAAAAGAGCATATGTGTGCTAGGAAGATAAAGAACAGGAAACCAAGAAAAACCAACCAGCACTTTGGAAAAATATATTAACTAAAATAAAGCAAAGCTCCTGATACACAGAGCAGATCATTCTAATATTGGTATTCCTTAAGTGATCCCTTTGTATACTTTCATGATTTAGGGAGACTCGGTTTGCATCACCATAAGGTGCTACACTAAACCAATAGAAATCTGACCCTCTTTAAAATCCAGTTCAGCAAATAAAGCCTAGTGAAAGCACATTATTCTACTTTTGCATATTTTAAAAAAATTAAAAACCTTGCATATGTGAAATTAAACACAAGTGTACTGCTCCAGATTGCATCAGGAGCAACAGTTATTAATGGCCACCAGCTTTCAAATTGTCTGGTCTGTAGCTGTGATTTAGTTTAGCATTTCTCACAATTAAACTGTTGTGCACATGAGCAAGAAGGAATGACTCAAGAAAGATGCCAAAAAGACCATTAGCATTCCACCCCCATTTTAACAATTTCCTCTTACAGTGGGACTTTTTGCACACGATCACTGTAATGTATTTATTATGAATGCCTAATGGCATGCTCTAGACCAAGGCATGAGCAGTCAAGAAATGTGTGATCAAGTGAGAGCTTGAGCCCTGACCTATTGTGGAAGTAGAGGGGCAGACGTGAGCCAGCCAAGAGAGAGCCACCAACAGCCACTCTTTCCAACAAGTGACAGAGATGGGATAATTGTAAGAGATAATAATGCAGTGCAAAACTACAGTGTAAAGAGGACCATTTTTTGCAGTTGTTCTTAGAGGAAGATGCCCAGCATAGTAGGAAAAAGTTGGATTTGCTGTAGCAGGGGCAGTATTTCACTTGTACATTCACACATGCTCTCTGGATAGAAGTGTTCACAGTGGATTTGAAAATCAAATGGTCTGTGAACACAAGGGACCAACCAAAGCAGAGTATATACCTCCAGAGGATGCTTACTGAAGGAAAAATGGAAAGGAAAAGGAAAGGAAAAATGGTTAAAATTGTAATAGAGGTACACATGGTGTATACCAATAAGGATAACAAACAGATAAAAGCATGTGTTTCGAAGCCACCCTAATGGATAGTGGTGTCTTTTTTGTTGTTTTTAAAATTATATTTGCTTGATGAAAATAACAAAAGGGAAGCAACTCTACTGCCACAGGGCAAAGAATAAGCCATTCCTATTTTTTTAAATAAAATACAGTAGTATCAAAAGTTGTAACACTAGAAGTACACCATCAGATATGGTAAAAGTACATGATTATGAAATTCCTATAAAAAAAAAATCTTAAAGGAAGACAACAAATATCTGTGAGATAAGAAGCATAGATAATTCATCTTCTACACACTTGAAACAACAACTCGGCTGAAGATAGTAGCATTACAAATTCTTAAGAAACCCATGTTCCCACTGTCAGAGAAAATGGTTCTTCAGCGCACTTCCTCTCTGTTTACGCAGGCATTATGCTGTTTATCTTCAGCAAAGTTGGGATGGGGTTTAAGCAGTACAAAGGACACTTTGGGAAAATAAACAAACAAAAAAAACACAAAAATATACAGAAGTCAATCCTGCTGTCAAGAAATATCTACTTTCTATCTCACCCATGATTTCTGTTTCTTACTCTTGTTCTTCACACTATTTCTCTCTTCCTTCCTAATTCTCACACAGGAAATCATGAGGCCATCAATGTGTAACCTAGGGAACTTGTGACCCCTAACGTATCCAAAGGTCTCTGCCTTCATTACATCTCCTTTTATGGAGCTGCTTGGCAATGCTGGGAAACCTCAGGAAAGCCTGATTATTCCAGTAGTCATCCGAGCCTATTTCTCTGTAGAATATTCTCCAAAGTCAAATGCAAGATGCTTGCATATTTTAATTTATATATTTATCTTAAATATCCTTGCCATTAACAATAAGCACTGGATATGACTGCAGCTGCAACAGGAGAGGCACCTTAACCCAAGTCATCTCATTACCGGTTGTATAAATATAGTAATACTGTAGCTGGTTTTTAGATAGCCAGATTTTTATCTCTTATGTTTTCAGTACATTAGTCATGTTAAAATACGCACTGGTTTTTGTTTTTCTTTTTCTTTTTTAAATTATTCTAGGAAAAGCACGTATCAAGTATTTTTACCATAAAGGGGGAGCTATGAAAAAGAAGGGGACAGACTCTTTGTACTGACAAGACAAGGGAAACGGTTTCAAACTAGAAGAAGAGAGATTTCAATTACATATTAGAAAAAAATGTTGATAACCAGGGTGCAGAAGCATTGGAACACGTTGTCCAGAGAGGAAGTAGATGCCCTATCTCTGGAGACATCTAAGGTCAGGCTGGACGGGGCTCTGAGCAACTTGATCAAGCTCTACGGGTCCCTGATCATTGCAGGGGAGTGGGACTAGATGGCCATTAAAGGTCCCTTCCAACTCAAATGATTCTGATTCTGCCCACCTTTCTGAAATGGTTATAACTGAGATAAAAGTGAGAGGTGATTATTGTTCTCATATAGCTTGAACTGATCCAAGATCAGACTCATGGGAAGAATTTTGAGAGGAAAAAAATAATGCAAACAAATCTCAGTGAGAAGGAGAAAGTCTTAAACCCTGTCTTGCAGACTGTGAAACTGAGAAATCTTTACAGTTGCCTGGTTGCGCAGCAGAAGCCAACCACCAGCAAAGACCAAAACTAAAACAAACAAATGAAAAAGAAATTCTCTACTGGCACTGATGAAACTGCCTAGCCATTGCTGCAGTACATTGTATGCAATTTATTATTTTCCTGCAACTGAGATCTGTCAGTCAAACATACACAATTACAGCTCTATTATATTGCTGTATTCACATCAGGTAGCAGTGCAAATAAGAGAGAAGGAAGCAAAATAAATCAGCCATTCCCCCATCCAGATCAGGCCCTAAATTACATACAGTCTTCCAGCTGTCTAAACAAACAGCACTTAGCTTCAAGGTTCTTTCAGACAAGCATTTGCTTCCTTGTTTCCTGCGACATCCTCACAAAGCTCTGAGTCTGGCTAACTCAGCTGTAATACTTCTGCCCTATTTTCTCCCCTTAGATCACAGAGTTTTTGCTCTGTCCCACTGGAGAGTGATACCTTTCCTTCAGCCATCCTTC